TTATTATTTTATAAGATTTATTTTGTGGTTTTCAATTTAATCAACATAAACTATGGAAGATTGGATTGGTAATGTTTGGTGATCTTATTTTGAGTGAGACTCCTGCTTTAAAGGATCAGTTCCACCTAGGTTCGAAGTTATCCCATCCTGATTTAACCCATGACTGGTAGCATGAACTGTATATTTTAATGTGTACAGCTCTAAATGGTAGTTTGGGCTGGGTCAACTTGTTCTTAATTTTTTTTTATGGATTAAATCTGAGAGATTATGATGTAAATATGGTTAAAAAATATTTAAAAAATTAAATTTTTTACTGTTTTAGTATTTCTTTATTTTTTAAAGCAAAAAAACAAATTTAATGAAGTTATTTTTTCTTATCCATTCTAAATAGAATCCATTTCTTCTTTTTATAGCAAATGAAAATTCATGTGTTCTGGTTAGAGATCTTTAGAAATTGGTCAGGTATTTAAATTTATATTCTACACCATCATTGTACACTTCTTTGATGTGGTTCCATATAATTCTTACATTATTATCTTTAATAATAATAATTTTAATATGAAAGAGTAAAAAACCTATATAGGAAGGAGATAGTCTGGAGTGACAGTCATTAATAGGCTAAATAGTGGCAAAACATTACCAGGACCATCTCTTTCCTTTATAATCCAATGGTCAACTATTAAATATTCAGTAAAAAACCTATGTACGTTGTGTACTATAAATTTTTTTAACTAAGCAAATTGTTCAGTTTTTCTTATTGCTTTAATAGCTTTAATAATTTTTTTTTTAGATATACTGATCTTAAATTTATTAATATTTTTTTCCCACACCCTCCAGAGATTTTATTATGCATTCCAAATCCAAACAAATCGGGTGGTAACAAAAATATAAATGAAGAAAACAAGAGTACAAAGATCTTCACCCACCCAAGGTTCTAAAATAAGGAAAGATGTATATAATAATTAGGTTTAATTGTATCTAATTATGTTAACAACTATATGAATAGTGAAATTTATAACTTATTATATTATGTTAATAAAATATAATATTTTATTAAGAAAATGGGGTAGCTCAATGAATAAAGGCCTCTTACACTATAAATTTTAGTAAGTCAATACCAAATTTTGTCATTCAGGTATATTGTGGCTATTATTTCAATACAATATTTTTATATCTTGTTCGATTATATTGGTATTTAATTACATCTTCAAATACAATTACTCGTACATTGATTGTCTTGGGTATTATCAATTACTCCTTTTGGCTACCATAATTGTTTCTGAACTATTCAATTATAATTACTTCATGACACAAAGTAATTGCAGTCACATGTAATTTATGTATATGTATATAATCTGTGTTTAAAGTTAGTTTTTACCCATTTTCCAGTCGCAGACCCAGTATTTAATTTTGAGGCATCAGTCTGAAAGCCTTTTTATTTTTATTTATATAATGATCACTACTTTTGAAGAAAAAGAAAGAAACTAACTATGTAAAATGGTATTTAACTGGTTCTTGAAGTCCTATTAAAATTTAATTTTACAAACAATAATACTTTGAGATATTTTAGCATAACAAAATTATTGTGTTTTCATTTTTGGGAGGAATTAAGACAGGTGAATTCATTTTCTCTAATAAATCTCATCAACTGGAATTTGACCCTCTGGTGCAGAAGTGTTGTGTCATTTCTCCACTACATAGGGTTTTGGCTCTGGGGCCCAGAAGGGGGTTTCATGGCACAATTTGCACCATCAAAATTTATGAGGGAGACCCATTTGATGGAGTTATGAATTTGCGGAATAAAAAGTTCAAACAAGGGAAAAGGAAAGAACAGAAGACTGAAAGTGTAATAATTTATAGGCTATGTTTTTTTTTAAAAGGAGGGATGGGGATAGGAGACAAACTCCTCCCACACCAGCAAAGAGGAATCCCGAAATATCATTTTCCCCAAGTCTTCTCAAGATCCTTGATTTGTAAATATGATTTAGTATTGTTCATTACAATCCTTACATGTGCAATAATGTTGACAGTCTTTTAATGATATCGAAGGAGCTTCAATTATAATAAAAAATGATGCCAATATAATATCAATGTACTGGTCAGTATGTTGATGAAATTAGATACTGACTCAGTAATATTAGCCTTTCATGTTGTTGACTGGTTCCTGGAAGGTTTACTTATAATAATATCAACCAACTTTTCATTAATTTTAGTAATAATATATCTTCTAAATAAATGACTTTTTTAAAAAACGATACTATCATATAAACCTCCACAGTTCGAACGTTTTAATTTCAGAAGACTAGTCCCTTTTGATAAATAAGCCGTTTATTAAAAAAGGGTTTAGGCTTTATAATGCTATTTTTCGATCCATAGTGAGGAATCAGTTTCATTGACGTAAATTAATCTGAAAAACTGGTAGCATATTGAGCATTTCTAAGGGTAAAAATTCTCCAATTTCAAACTGCAATAGAATTCGAGTGGTAAAGAACGTACCTATATAAGATTGAGATTGAAATTTTGGAATTATAAAAAAAAAAATCCTGTTTATTTTTCAACTTAAATTAATAGTGCGTGTTGGAGGCGTTGTGAGGACTAAAGGAGGAACCTGAGTCCACTGAAATATGACGTCGACCAGGAGTGTTCAAAATGCGGGCACCTCCAATCTGCTCTGCGAAACTTTGTTTGATTACATGGTAAAATTTTAAAAATATAAAATTAAGTAAATAACACAAACAGAAGGTTTCTACACCATATATTGCTTGAATTGTTTCTCTTATAAAGCTCATTTCACTGCTGAAGGGTCATTTATTTATTACAAGCTATGGCCCGGAGGACTAAGTGGAGGACTTAATACGGTCGGCGGGCCAAAACCTTTGGAGACCCCTGACGTAAACGGCTGTTAAACACGCCTCCAAATTTCTCTCTGCTCTAGTTAATAAATTAATAAACATACATTTAGAAAAAAAACTAATAAAGCGCACTTTAAACTAAATATTTCTATTCAGAGACGACAGAGTGAGATATAAAACGGAAAAATATTGTTATAATGTAAGTTTTGAAAATGGAAACACTATTCTAAACTTAAGAGTATAAGATAAAAAATCAACATAATTATTGTAAAACGAATAATATAGTACTATACATCAGGGGTGCCCAGAAGCGAGTTTGATGGCGCAAGTTGCGCCATCAAAAAGTTTTTAAGGGAAGTATGTTTTGACGGTTTTTTTAATTTTTGAGGGGGCACATTTCGATGGGGTTATGAATTTTCAAAATGAAATGTTTCAGACTAAGGGAAAAGGTGAAAATATGAAACAGATCGCAGTAAGTGTAATGGTATATGATCTCGGATTTTTCTAATTCTACCTTCGCTTCCTCTGCTCATAAGAAAAGGTGAGCAATAAAATATGTTGAGAGAGGGGGGGATAGGTTTTTGAGCCATCTACCTTGGGAAGGGGGGCACCCCTGCTATGTATATTAATTTATTTTATTTTTTTACTTACGCATATATTTGAAAATATGTTAACAAAGCTAATGAATATATTACATATTTTTGTTTAAAGTTTTGAGGCAGTGATATGAATTATGATAAAATCTTCAACTATGTTAAGGAATTAATCATAAAACACATGGAGATGTTGCTACATTTACTTTCTTTCTATCTTTGAGTAAAATCTAAAATTTCAATTATAATAATATAGGTCTTGGTAAAATGCGTACCTACTTCTAGGCCTTAGCTTAGCCATTTGATCAACTTTTCCTATTTCCTTAACTGCTTTTAGTTTACATATTTTATTCATTCATTCAGATTAATTGCTATTCCTTTGATTTTGTCTTCAAAATATTGGAAGGGCGAAACGATATTCTCACTCTTTCTCTATTTTTATTGTGAAGTATGCCCCTATGGTCACCACTATCCTGACGTAGCTCCACACCACTTGGTTAACGCTAGTTATCTTTATGCATGAGAAAAATGCGAGACTATATTTTTATTAAATATTCATGCAAATAAACAATTACTCAAGCACACATAGGTGCTGCATAATGGGGGGAGGAGGAGGCCAAGCATATATATTTTCTGATCTCCCAATATCTTATAAAAGGAGCCTCCAATATTTCTCAGTTATTTACTTCTGATAATTCACAAAAAATGCAATAAACCGTATTGATAATAATCACTAACGGATCCAGGATTTAATTTTGGAGGAACTTCAGCCCTAAAGATTTTTTTTTGTATGTATATATTAGAATAATTAATTCGGAAAAAAGAAAGAAACTACCTATATGAAATGGTAAGTGATTCTTTAAGTCCTATTAAATGTAACTAGAGAAACAGTAATACTATCAGAGATGATTTTTTTTTTCAAAAATATGGATACATTTTACCATTTGGGGAGGGGAGGGAGAAGACTTCAGCCCGAAAGCTCCCCCCGTAGACCCGCCTGTGTTAATAATTATATTACTAGTAGGCTTGTGAGAATAATTTGCATATTCATTGAATATGCTATGAAAATACCCCTTTCTCCCACCCGAAGTCTGCGCCTATGCTTAAAGTAGTTATGCCCATCTCTATTCAAGAAGGACCCAAATTGTAAATTTGACATTGATTATATTGAGGCTGCGTTGCTCGAGTGAATTAGAACTGCATCTCAGCATTTTGTAGGTACTAGCGGCACCGGTCAAAATCCAGCTACGAGGTGTTGACTTTTGTAACAAAAATAAGCTTCATACTAGTGACTCAGAACAGAGAGAATTAAATTCTTGCAGCAGGGAATCAAAACTATTTGAAATCTTATGTACTTATCTTTGTTTGATTTATTTCAAAATCTATTGCATTAATCAATTTTAACTTTAACGATTTAATTCGTTTTTACACGAGGGTAGACTTAATGGCTTTATGAAATTATTATTGAAAAAATAATCTTTTTGTATCAACGTAACGTTGTTTTTCATTTTTAAACATATTTTTATATATTCAAAAAAATCATTACAAACATATTAAAATGTTGATTCATAACAATCAACTATGTAATAATAATAATAATATGAGCACGAAAAAAAGGATGGCAACACTGGAGGTTATGAGCCTTTTAATTTAAATGGCAAGATGACTTTAAAGTAGGTTGTCGAATTTTAAAGAGGTGCTGGTCCAATATTATTTTACAGGACTGTTTAAAGTCGGGGAAAAAAAAATAATTTGGGGAGTTGTTATTTGTATTGACTTTCACTATTGAATACTGATTCTACTTTTTAAAACAATGGATATGAGCGTTGATGAATCCGTTGTAACAAGGTATATATATTTTTTTTTCTTTCCTGTTATGCTGTTCTAGGATAGTCAGGTTACAGTTAGTAAACAATTGATTAGGTCCTGTGTTTATACTAAAATTGTTGTTAGTATTTATTTAGTACTGCAGTTGTCAAAGTTACAAATTCAAAATAAATTTTTACTGTGTAAGTGTTATTGATATTCTGTTGTTTATAATTATAATTGATATACATTTCAAATTAATTGTTATGTTCTTGAGTGATCAGTTTCAACAAAGTTTATTGTACAAGATGTTATTTAATTTTATTAAGCAGCTTCATTAGTTCTTGTATTATGTAATTAGTGACTTGAAGCATGTTTTTGTTTTAAACAAGCCATCTGAATAGGTTGAGAAAAAAGAATGAATGAAATGACTATTATATTCTGGTCTTAAATATTATTGGTTTATATCAAAATTCACTAAGTACATTTTTACGGAGCTAAATTTTGCACATTTTCTTGAATTTTGACCATATTTATGGGTTTAAAAAAACAGTAAGATCTTCAAAATGTCTCTAATCCTTTTATATACCAAATATAGTTATAATTATGTGCATATTGTTGTTAGAGAAGAGAAATTTATGAAAATACATCAAGATTTAATTTTATGAAATGTCACTTTGTGACTTTTTGTAATAAACCAACAGTATTGTTATTGAAGTGCCTGTAACCATAGAGTGATTTAAAAGTTTTTGACTTTATTTAAATTCCATGTTATTATACTAATAACATAATAAATTATATTGTTTGATTTATTGTGTAATTAAGTTCTTTCCAATGTTTAATAGTTAGTAACATGCAATCAATCCCAACATGAGTTTTGAATATCAACAAAATGGTTAATCCCCTGTGTTTGTAACTATATTTTTTGATATCCAAAACTTTTGGTGGAAGAGACCTATATAGTATCATTAAGTAATATTAAATTGTTTTAGCATTTTTATTTTTTTAAGTGTTTGTTTTGGATTATATGTTGGTTTAATATTTTTAACCACTAATTATTTGCATAGTTTCAGCAAAGAGACTCCAACAAGATACAAGGACCCTCGGAATACTCTTCTCTATGCTGCCCAGAGAGGAATGTTTGAGAAACACACAAAATCGCCTTGTGGATTTTCCCTATTACCAAAATATCGTAATTCATTAACACCTGGTCGGAAGGTATACAATCCATTTAAAACAAATGTTGATTTGCTTGAAGGCCATACTTGCAGCCCAACTGTTTTTAAAAAGACTGATTCACCAGAGGTAATTTGGAATTTATAATTTTATTAAGTTTAAGGTAAAGTTCTTGTTTAGATGGAATAATTTAGGCTATTATTTCTTTCACCATGATATATTTATTCCACAATTTTAGTTCTTGTAGCATAGTTTTGGCCTTTGTGCTATTTTCCAGAGTTTTAATTTTTATTGTGTTTTGTCCTTTGAGTCATATGTTAAAGGGCTTGAAGATGTCATAAAGGCCAAAATGTTGCCATAAGAATTAAAATTGTGGAATGAATAAATACGTGGTGAAAGAAATAAAAGTCTAAATTATTTCAATTTGAAATTATTATTTTTGGTATACTTTATTTATTAGACAAGTTCATTAATTTTTGGCTTTTCAAATAGTTATTTTTCTTTTGATGTATTTATAGTAAATCTTTCAGTGTTATTGAGTTAGATTTTATTGTATTATATTTTTTTCCATGTATAGCTATGACACAAAATCTATCATTAGTTTTTTGTCATTATATATCCTTTAAATTATTGACCCATCCTTACGTATATTTAGTCAATTTCTATCATTTATGATGTATTAAAGAAAAACTGAAAGCAGAGTTATAGAAAAAAATAGATATTAATGTATTATGATTTGTTTAAATTTAAATGCATTAGTTGAGTAAATTCAAAGACCGTACGTGGTCTTTCCAAACTTCTTCGATTGACTAGCCCTGATGAAGGCCTGAATTTCGGGCCAAAACGTCGGCAAATATAAAAATAAATATAATTATTTATTTTTACTGTTTTTTATTTTGAATGATCACCTCAAACATCCTCTTCAATTATTCACCACAGTCAACCATCAATCCACAAAAAAGATATTTCAGTTCAATAAAAAAAATTAATGTTTTCACTAAACGATGTACTGGTTTAGTAAAAAATAATATTTTTATTAAACAATATATAAGTTTAAAAAAAAAATGTGCAACAAGCTGATATATTTGTCTGTAAAAAAGAAAAATGCAAGTGTTTTCTTTCTAATTATGTATATTTCAATGATAAGTATACATTTTTATACTAAAACAATGTATAGATACAACTAAAAGCTAAAACAAATTTTACATTTTTCAAGAACATGTAAATAATTATATTCAATTATTAATAACTTCTCAAATGGGCTAAAGTGGGATGAAATTTTTGGGATTCACGTTCAAATAATTCTTTAATACAAATTTTTCTTAAACTCCTTTTTCAATAAAATTCAATAAATTTTTGTATTTATTTATTGAATTTCTACAAATTTATAAACATAAAACAGTTAATTCCAAAAGTAAATTAAATTACCTAATAGGATTGGTTATCCGGATTCCATTTGTTTTGGCTTTAAAACAATCTGAATACAATGAACTTACTATTTATTATTTAGAAGATAAGATGTATTATATAAACAGCATTATAATTAAATAGCAAAAGAATTAATTGAAAAGCATCTAATTTTGCACGATAAAAATTAAATAAAATGCACAATTTTTGAACATATTTATTTAAAATTTTACCGTTAAAACTCATTGGAATTACTTGAAAACTTACCGTAATATATAGTAATATAAAGATCATATATGTACAAAGTCATAAAGAAATTTGGTCAATGTCACTAGTTTTGCCTAATTTGTCCCACTGTGGGGGGGGGGGAGGGGGTAGTAGGGAGAGGATATATGAAACAACAAATTTTCAATATTAAACTTTTAGAAACTAATAAATTTATTGTAGCTGGTTTCATTATGCTTTTTAACTAAAAGTGATCTGTTTATTTTGAAACATTATTGATACAATAACACTACTTGTAATGCAATTCATTTTTATCTTCAGAATGGTGATTTCACTTGGTCAATTGATGATATCTCCCGAATAAATCCAGCTCCTATTGACTCCCCAATAGACCTACCTGAAGAACATTTTGATGAAAAAATGGAGATAAAGGCTCAACAAGCAATTGAAAGGTAGGTAAAATCAGGTATTAATTAATGTTATAGCCATTATTTTTTTCTTATAGTTTATTGATTTGATGATAGCCTCTTATAAAAATTTTTTAAGGGGATATCATCATACTATTCCTATGTGTAAAATAAGCGTTGCATAGCAACCTGATTAACTAAAGCGAGTTGAAAATCTGGTGCCATGGGGACTTTTTACTCTGGCATTATTCCTCTGCCCTGTCCCTTGTTCCAGAAAAAAATTAATGAAATTGATTTTGATCTACTACAGATTTTGATTTATTTAGTAAATATTTTCAGAGAAGAGTAATTTTATTGTATGGTTTTGCCCTTAGGTATTTTTCTTTTAAACATGATATCGTCTCACCTGCAGGAGCTCCTGGAAATTGGTGCTCTCCAATACCTGGAACACCTGCTTCATCTTCAACCCCTTGTAATAGCAGATCGCACAAACCTGTAGATGGTTCGTAGTGGTTTTATTATTTGCCTGCAATAATTTTAAGTATATTTTATTAGCATTATTCATTATTTCAAAGTGCCTTAATCCTGCTTTACCAAGTTGTCTTTAACTATGGTGAGCCATGGATAAGATTGTTTCTTTTTTTTTTTAGGCATCAAAGAAACAGTGAAACTTCCTTGTTATTCCATCCATTATTATAATTGATACATTTTACTCTGTTATTCTAATTTGTTACAGAAGTAAAGAGTTTTTAAAATATTAAAAACTTCTGAGAAGGAGTTGATCGAGGGCTGTGGTCAAATAAATACTAAATTATAGAAATAGTGGCCTACAGTATTCTGTACAAGAAAACTTTTCACAACAAAAAAAAAGCCAAATTTTTCTGACCTTTTGTTTTTTCCCTATAATTCTTAAACGGTTAATAAGGGGAAAACTATAGTCTTTAAAATGTTTAAACCCGTTTATACAAGTTTAAAAAATATAAAAATTTCTCACATTTTTTGCTATAAATTTCCCGTTTTGATCTTCAAGTTACTGGCCTAGTATTCTTTAAATCAGTCACTATTTTTCAGGTACCATGATCTGACTGGCATACTCTCATTTCTTCAATATAAATCATTATAAATAAATTGAAAAATCCTTACTTACATTGGGTTGCAGACCATATATATTTTTTTGTTTCTAGTAGATATTTTTATTCGCAATTTTAATCTCTGAAATTATTGTAAAAAATAAGTTCATAAATAAATGTTACCATTTTGTTTTTAATTATTAATATAATTTACTATCTATTCATTTTTTAAGTAATTGCAATTTTATTATTGGACATTTAATTTTCTTAGCTTGTACCCAAACAAGGCTGTCGCTACCACCTATCCTTCCACCTGAAGTTGAGGCTGCTTTGAAACCTTATTTCAGAAATGATGTAAGTACAGATTATTTTCATATATTACTTTTTATTATCATCGTATATATGGAATAGTTCTAATGGAATAAAACAAACATTATTTATGGTTTTGATGGTAACTCTTTGAAAATGAACAATAATAAGTTAATATGCATCTGTTATTATTTCATTCTTGAGGAATGATAGAAAGATTACTTCTTTCTTCACAACTTACTTCAAAAGAAGTCGTGAGAAACCAAGGTATCTGCCTTTACAGATGTCTGTGCCAGGTGAAGTTATTTCATCCATGTGAGCATTAAGAGACTGAGTGACACGGAAGTTTAAGAAAAGGCTAAAAGATGTTTAAGGGGAATTACCTTATTAGAAAAAGAAAAATATATTGTTGATTCAATTTATACCTTGTAATTAATTATTAAATTATATTACTCCTAAATAAAGCCAAAATTATTGACTAAAAGTTACTGTGTCTAGATTTTTATCTGTATAATACAAAAAAGGAGGATACGGTCCTTATTTATATTGAAGAGTTGTGAGAATTAAGAAGGTTCTGTGTAATATTTCATGGGAGAACTCAGAAACAGTATTAAATAAATAAGTATAGTAAGTTTATTTCTAGAGAAACTTGTGAAAAAAAAAGCAGTACCTACTGCTTTTTTTTTCAGTTGTTAATCTTAGATAAGAGAATAAGGTGTAATTACCTATCTTTATGGATATGATCAAAATAAGTAACTGGCTCAGAATTATAGATATTACTAACATAGTATGTCTACGAACTTAAAGAATTTAATTTGAAGAAGAATTGCCATCTTCTCTAAAAAATAAAATTCAAAATATTAAAAATTATATTTAATAGGTCCTATGAATGTTAATTTAAATTTAATATCTAACTCCACTCATTGACTAAGTTTAAGGTACTACTTTTACTTTAATATCCCTTTTGTCTAATTGCATATTTTTTCTTCCTTTACTAAAAGGTCGTGTAGGAATAACCTTAAGGTCACATAATCTTCAAATGATATTGAAAAAATAATTTAATTTATAAATTGTTCTAAAAGCTATTGATTTGTCTCATAGGATGAAGCTGATATCTCCGATGAATGTAACTTAAGTAATTCCACTTTAAGAAGAAAATTGTTCTTCAATAAAGAAGAAGAATCTCTTTCACCAGTAAAGTAAGAACTTCCTTAAATTTAAAGTAAACTAAAAAAAAAAAAAAAAAAAAAAACTCAAGGAATTTGAGATTGATAAATCTCAAGATGAATATACTGCTTAACTTATATATCTGTTACATATTATTGATGGCATGAATTTGTGTATTATAAGGTTGCAAGTGAGGTCTTAATGCTTGCTTGAGGTCTACATACATGTCATGTTAGAGTGGCTCATAAATGATTTATTGTATTTCCATTAAAAATCTGTAATAATGTCTAAAGTTATTTGAAGTAACATTATTATAGATCCGGTTATATTATTGCCGTTTCAGAAACATGGCTCAAACCAAACTTTCCTTCTTCCTCTGTATCCATCCCTGACTATGCCCTCGTTCATCTTGATCGATTGGACCAGACAGGTGGTGGTGTTGGATTTTACGTTCATGAAAGTCTGTGGATAAAAATTCTTCATAAATCTTCCTCTCCTGACTTTCCTCATGTAGAATATTTATTTGTAGAAATTTCCTCGGAACCTTTTTCCCTCTATACCATTAGATATCACCCTCCTCAAGTCCAATTTGATACTGCCTCAGAATTCTCCCTTTTTACTTACATTCTTACAATCATGTTATAATAACTGGCGACTTAAACACTCTCTCCTGATATGCTCTGACTCTCCTGACAAATCATACCTTGTAGACCTAATCCACTCCCTTGACCTTTTCATCGTTCCCCTTCAACTCACTTGACTTCTGAAAAACTAAATCCTTTTCTCGAAACATTAGCCTAATCCTTAGATCCCATCTACTCCTATTCCTCTATTGATGAGATAGTGGACATTCCACATGTCTTTCCTGTAATCATCTCATATACCTGAATCAACACGCACCACTAAAGACCTCTACCTTCAGAGGTCCTGCTGCTCCCTGGATTAATCCTGAAATCTGAAAGCTGATGAAGAGAAGAGATGCAGCTAGAAGGCACTTCAGACACACACGTAATCAGGATGATTATATTTCTTTCAAAACCTAATCCAATCTTCCTTGCACCAAATTCTGTTAATCATGAAATCATCTTTTCCAAACCACAAAACCTTTCCATACCAAATAGCCTTTTAAATTCTTTCTTGTATCCCAGATACAAAACAGTCATCATTCCCAATATAACTCCTTCCTCTCCTAATTCGCGGTGTTCCTAAGGAATTTTCGCTTTTTCCAACTCTTTTTCTCCATCTATCTATGTCAACAATCTTCTTGATTCCATCTGTCATTCACAATACCACTTATATACTGACAATATCCAAATCTACCTTACCTTTTATGTTACTGAGATGCTTGAGATGATCCAAAGACTTCAAGTAATGATTTAAAGTTAAAGGTTGAGAAGATTAAAGCCATTCTCATCGGTTTCAAGCATCTTACTAATTCCATTCATTACTATATAATGGACAAGAGATATATAATATATAAATTCTATGAGTTATTTAAATAAAAGTTTGATTGAAAGAGGATGAAAATAATGTGCAGATAGTATAAAACAGGGATAATACAAATTAAATAATAATAGATTATTGATTAAACGTGAGATTAAAGAAAAGAGTAAAATATATTAACATAAGAATTAAATTAAAGAGAAATAATGAAGTTGTCAGCGAAAAGGAAAAGGAGATTGTTATGGTTGTTTTAATAAATTTAAAATTTGGGAATAGGCTAAAGATGTTTTGTTTGACTGATTTTAGATTCACTGTCTTAGATTGGAGCTGGATGTGGAGGGTTTCAGAGATGAGTCGTTTGTCATGGTTACGGACGGAGGCAAGGATGGAAGTTTTGTCAAAATCAAGTGTATGGTTTAGGGAGAGAGAATGTTCAGATAATTTGGAGGTGGTAAAATTACGAGAGGATACAGAATATTTATGTTGGGTGATGCGGTCTTTTTGAAGATTTTTGATTTCACCAATATAAGAAGAAAAGCAATTAGGGCTAGAACCCAACACGGAATGCGATAAACGATGTGATAAAAGGAGCAGGATCTTTTAGGGATGTGTACAAATTAGAAAGTGTGTTGTGAGATTTGAAGGCAAGTCGTAAGTTAGGATTAGTAGATCGTAAAACTTTGTTTATGTTATCAGAAAGATTAGGAATTATGAGGTAGAAATCTGTATATGGAGGCCGAAATCAGTTGTGGTAAAATAGTTTAGGTCGAGATTAAGGAAGAGCGATTATTGTGGTCTTTTATAATGAAGAGAAGAATAGTTGGGGTGCTCAGTCAAAAAAGGAAGGCAAAAAATAAATTATAATATTTATTTTTTACATATGCCGACGTTTCGACCTGAAGTTCAGGCCTTCATCAGGGCTAAGAAAATAACCAGATAACAAGGTATGAGAAACATAAGTAATGATGGTAAAAAAGATAATAAAAAATGAGAAAATAAAAAAAAAATTATTAGAAAAATAAAATAGATAGATATAAACATAAACATAGATAACATAAATATATATATAGATAACATAAACATAGATAACATAAACATATATATATAATACATAATACATATATATAGATAACATAAACATATAGATAAACATAGATATAAGATAGATATTTTTTGCCTTCCTTTTTTGACTGAGCACCCCAACTATTCTTCTCTTCATTATCCACGACAGTCAACCAATTACCAATTTATGGGTCTTTTATAAGTTTGTTGATGGCATGGAAAGGAAAGTATCTGTTTTATACGTTGGATGTTGGTCACATGAAATTGGGAATCGGAGAGGGAGAGACTTTGGTGGATAGTATTTTTAGCAACATTAATTTTTTGGTGGTAAGGATGTTTAGAATAGAAATTCAGAAGTCTGCTTGTGTAAGTTGGTTTAGTGTACCAGTCTGCGGATATGGTGTTATTAGAATTCCTTATGATGACAAGATTGAGAAAACAGAGAGAATTATTTATTTCCCGTTCTACTATAAAGTTGAGGCGGGGCAGTAAGAATTAAAGGATTTCGATATCTGATAGGATTTCGGGAATTTTATCTGGATTGAGGATTAGAAAGAGGTTGTCAACGTATTTTGGATAAAGATGATATCGTCTGGATAATAGAATCTCGAAGGTCGTTAAGAACAATGTTAGAGATGTCGGGAGCGAGGGGGTTGCCCATTGCTAGTCTGGAAATTTGGTTTAAAAATTGTCCTTGGAAGGGCTTTAAGGACAAAACTTATCCTTAGCCTATTCCCAAATTCTAAATTTATTAAAGCATCCATAACAATTTCCTTTTCCTTTTCATTGACAACTTCCTTATTTCTCTTTAATTTAATACTTATATTAATATATTTTTTCATTTTCTTTAATCTCACGTTTTACGTTTATTTCAGTAATACTCTATTATTATTTAATTTTATTATCTCTATTTTATACTATCTCCACATTATTTCCATCCTCTTACAATAAAATTTTTATTTAAATAACTCATAGAATTTATATATTATATATCTCTCGTTCATTATATACGTTTCCTGTGCTTTGGTTCCATTTTTCAGTCAATCTGTTACAGATGGTGCACTATACTCGTACCTCTGTCTGTCCACGCCTTAAGTTGTTTATTTTTCATATCTTAGTTTTCTACTTTTTTTCCTCCTTCTCGACACTCTTTTCTCATATCTCCATCTCTATTTTGTATATATTGATACATTTTCTCATTAATCTATTTTATATTATTTTAACTTTTTATTCTCTTATACATAGTCAATATTTTTGATAAATTTTACAATCTTAATTTTCTATTTATATCTATTATTTCCTTATATTACTTCATATTCCTTTTCTCTGTTTTACATTTTATTCTAAGATTACATTTTTCATTTCTTATGTTACCTTATTTTGATTATGTTTATTTCATTGGTCTGTGCTTTGTTCCTGTTATTATTATTTATTTCTCAGTTCTCTGTTACTGTTATTATTCTACCTACTTTATTTTACTTTAATGTTCACTCTATCTACTTCATTTTACTTTAAGTTTTTTCTACCTACATTTTTTAGTCTATACCTTTCACCTTTTTTAATTTTAATTCTTTATTATTCAATGTTTATATTTTCTCATACCTATTGTTATCTGGTTCTTTTCTTAGCTCCCATGAAGGCCTGAACTATGGGCCGAAACGTCGGCAAATGTTAAAATAAATATTATTATTTATTTTGACTGATTGCCCCAACCATCCATCCTTCTCTTCAAAAATATTTATTATTTTTGTTCCGATAAAGGCCTAAAACTTAGGCCAAAACCTTGTGAGTATTTTCAGTTATAACTGCAATCCCAATGAATTTCTACTATTCAATCTATGGTCAACAATATTATCTTTAAAAAATTTTTTTTGTTTATTTTGAGCCTTTTAACATGCATCTGAAGAAAATCCTAAGTTTTGTTGTTTATCGTCCCTCGAAGATAGAATATTTTAGTTAAATAATAGTCATGTTAGATTACTTTGAAGAATAAATAATCTAGTTTAATGTTTAATTAACAAACGGCTACATGTTATAGCTTTACTATTTTATGTATACATTTCTTTTTTTTCTTTTTTTAGGAAAGTTTGCTATGATTTTGGTTCAGAAAGTGACATAAATATGAAAGTTTCTAGACTGGTGAGTATTTTGTTTTTTATTATTTACTCTTTTTTACTTTCACTTACCTACATAGTAATATATAGTAAGGGTAAGTATTGCGATCGTGAATTAAAGTCTGAGTTTTCATCAGAAATACATGTTTTTAGGTCTCCTAAGTCCTGCAAAATGGTCTGTTTTTGTGTATGTTATCATCTAACATGTATGTTATCAGTCTAGCTCAAAAACGAAAAGTCGTATGAAAGTGAAATTCCATATTTAATGTTTTTATAAGCTTTCAATGTTACAGCAACATTTTCATTAAAATCGGTAAACTGGAAGTGGTACTTTACATAATCGATTTAACACATTTTTATGATTTTCTCAAAAAGGGCTCTAATGATTTTGATTAAACTCAGTATATCAGTGTATTATTAAGCAGATTTAACATAATATAGATTTTATTCTCATTTATGTTTTCTATTAGGGCTTAAATGGCTAATTTTCAATATGGCTTCCTCTAAAATACCTTTATATAATACGGATCCCAACAATATTATATTCAGGGCCTTTTTCTACCCATATTATTGAATAGATTTTTCAACCTTATCAATACTTCTAGAAATATCACCATTTCAGAAATAGCGAGATCATAAAATGGTATAAATATAGTAACTAAACATAATAAAGAATTATAAAAGTGCGACTGTTTAATTAATTAGGGTTCATTATTAATACATGCCCAAATTCTCTAGAATCCCCAAATTCTGGGGGTGATTCTAGACAAAATTTCCAACAAAAAAGTATATTTGGTGCATGGACCAATTCCGAACGGAAAAGGAGTTATTACCAAATTTGTGTTTTATTTAAGATGGTCACAGTTTTTATTGAATAAGAAGGAATTGCTCAAAAATTGTTCATGATAATTAAATTCTATGTACACTATCATTAAGTAGACAAAATTTTCTTTGAAAAAACAGTGATAGCATTTACTTACTAAAGTCAATGATAAAAGGAACTTTCAGGAGGTCTAGTAAGTAATGCAAGCCCTACCATTATGCCAAATTATTTCACGAATCGTGATTACAGAGATATGCTGCTCGGGTATGGATACTGTAACTGCAGCAGTTAAACCTGCTGAAAGTCCCTTTTATCGTTAATCTTACTAAAATTAATCACTGCTTCATATGCACAAATAATAAATTTGTTGAAATAAAATCATTAATTTTAGAATAGAATAGATAAGTTTTTGGAACAAAATAACACTAGAAAGTTATGTTCAATAATGTGTAGCTAGCAGTATTAACTTCAGAAAATATGGCATTTATTATTAGCTTTCCTGATTAATAAATGCTTTCTCAGGTAATCAGTAATATTAATCAGCCCAACAGCTGTACTACAGTTTACAACTATACAATATGTATCTGAATATTTTCCTTCAACATAAATGGCCTCTTCGTATTTTAAAAATATAGGAAGAATAACAGCCTTGTAAATCATGTACTTTAATTTTAATTTCTATTCTACTCAATTTTTATTCATTGTTGATGATTAGGATTTAACAATTAAATTGCAAAAGTCTTCACTTTTTGTGATGCTATTTATTTGGTTCCTCAATTACAACTATTCTCCGTTATGATCTTTTATTTTTCCTTTAGTTAATTATCAAATTCTTTCATATTTAAATGTCTTATATTAGAGATTAATGTGAAATGGTCAATTGTTTTAAATAAAAAAAAAAATTAAAGGTACTTTATAGGGGAAGCTAATATGGAAAATTAGCCATTTAAGCTCTATTAGACAACATCAATCAGAATAAAAACTACATTCTATTCAAAACTGCTTAATTTTATATTGATATAATGAATTTAATCAAAATTGTTAAGAGCCCTTTCCTAGAAAATCGTAAAAATGTGTTTAGTCCATGTTAAAAGTGCCACTTCCGGTTAGCCGATGTTGATGAAAAAGTTGCTGTAACATTCCAAGCATATAAAAATCTTAAATATACAATTTCACTTTCGTACGACTTTTCGTTGTTGAGCTAGCCTGTTAACACAAACATGCACCATTTTGGTTACTGTTATTTGGACTCAGAGGATCTCAAAATGTGAAGATTCCGTTGAAATCTAAGATTAGAAAATTTTCACGATCGCAATACTTACTTACCTATGTATTTCATATATAGGTAAGTGAAAGTAAAAATATCGGAAGATAATTTTCTTTAGGATTTAAAAATTTGGAAAAATGTTCTATTTTTTTATTTGTAATGTTTTACAAATTGTTTTATTTTGATATTTCATAGTTTATCTAAAATATTGGTTTATATATTTTTTAGGACTGGACTATGAATAACAATTCTGAAGCTCTATCGTCGCCTGACATCTCTCCCATTAAATATCAACCTGAGCCTATGGGTGTTACAGGTAAAATTTTATTTAATTCTCTCATAAATCAAAATAGATACTCTGCCTTCATCATGAGCAACAGTAGCAAAAATATAAATAAGTATTATATGCATGATTAAAATCAATAAAAATTATTAGAAAAAGCCTATTTTATTTAAGGATATATATATATATATATATATATATATATATATATATATATATATATATATATATATAATATATAATATATATATATATTTTATATATATATATATATATATATATATATATATATATATAATATATAATATATATATATATTTTATATATATATATATATTTATATATATATATATATATATATATATATATAGATCCTTAAATAAAATATATGTATATTTAAGGAAATAGGAAGGAAGCTAGTCAACTGTTCTACATATCATGGGTGATAAATATTCAGGATGCAGTCTTTTTTTTTATTTTTTTTATTTGTGCCAACGTTTCAACCCAAACGTGTGGGTCATCTTCAGGGTGTGGTTTGAGCGCTGAGGGTGTTCAAGTACTGACTTACTTGAATTAAATATATATATATATATATATATATGATGTAGAGATGGTTGACCGTTGATATAATATGAGAAGGAGTTAGTCGGGAGAATATTTAAATAAAATAAAACAAAATTAAAATAAAATAATTACTATATTTTAATTTAGTATTCATCTGACCGCACACCCGCTAACTCCTCATTTATATATATATATATATAAATATATATATATTATAGTTAATATATTGCTTAGTGAATATAAAAGATAATATTAAAATGTATATATTGTCCGCACCATGTTAAAGTAATAAATCTTTAACTGCCCAACATTTCACATTCGTTACTTTAACAAACTGCCGGGCGATAGTTTCCACAGTTACTTATGAGATTTTTTTTCATTAATGGTTTCATATTTTTATCTTATATCTTTTTTTTTTTTTTTTGACATGCCATAGGCACAGACTTTCCATTCCGGTTGGAGAAGGAGGGATAGGCCCCCAAAAAAGTGTTAGGGAGTTAATATTATGTATATAAATTATGAGCGATAATTCATAATCAACCTTATTATAAAATGAACAATATAATACTGTATATAAAAGTAAACATATATATATCTTTATGTATTAGTTCTTTTTATTTGTCTGTGCATCGGTATAATTTAAAATTTGCTAACAAAAAGACTGAATATATTTTTATTTAAAGGTTTAGGGAAGTGAGATATTCTGATGCTTTAATTTTGCTGTGGGAAATGCAATGAAATCTTAATATAAAAATAGAAGGGTGCACATGAATGAATCATGAAATCCTAGGATATGTCACTACATAAATTAATTATCTTTGAATATAAACTAAAACTTCAATAATGGGAACATATGGTGTGGTCAAATATATGCGTACCTACTTCTAGGCCTTAGCTTTGCACTCTAGTTGACTTTTTCTTAATTGATTATAGTTTACATATTTTATTCATTCATGTAGATTAATTGTTATTTATTTTTTACTTTAAAATGTCGGGATAGAGAGCTCCGCCCTCTCTCTATTTTTATTGGTTCTAAATGGACTTGTCCCAGAATAAATAAAGTATTATTATTAATATACCATACTTTTAAAAATTACTAACGCAATGGTGAATCAATCCAGAATGAAGAATTATATTAATATTAAAAGAAATCCATGCGACTTTCTATCTTTCCTCACCTATTTTCTTTATTATTTTTTTTATAGTTTCAGTTAAACAATCTATATTTTTTTTTTCAGGTACATCGAATGAAGAAGGTATATTCACATCTACAATTATCAGCGGAAGCCAGGATACTGGTTACAGTACCATGGAGCAATGGAGGTCTAGCGTTAATATAGACAGTAATTCTAATTGATAGTTTGACAATGCTCAATGTTTTTGAATTTATAATTGATTTGTTATAGATCGTATTATTTATGACCATTGTGACTGATATTTTTGATTTTTTGTTAAGACTTTCACTGTTGAATTTTTTATGACTTTAGACAGGCCTCACTCAAACCTATCAAATTTATGTTGTATAGTCAAAAGATTTACTTTTTTTTTATTTAATAGTTATGAGGTTTGTTTGTATAAAGACTGAATTACAATTATTTAACTTAAATTTCTATGTTTTTATCTCTTTATTTCTACTCCTTCCTAATTGAGCCCAACATATCTAAAAAAGTTTTGTTAAAATTTGAATTTTTATTTCTGACTACAACTTCTATGAGAACATATTTCAATATGTTGCGTCAAGTTATTTTATTTTTTATTGTTTCTTTGTGGTAATATCCGTTCTTGTGATTTATTTTTCACTGTAGCATTTCTATTTTTGCATTGTGACATTATGCAGTTACACAGAGTCTTGCTATAGTTAGACATAATTAACTATTACAATATCATTGTATAAATGTTTATATTTTTAATAATGCTGTGATTGTTTTTTAAAAAATATTATAAGGATTACATTCCTTAAACAATTCATAATCTCCTATTTAATTTAATTCAAGTTTATCTTTTAAATGGAGCTGCGCTGTGAATGACTCATCTGATTTTTTCTATCATTTTGTTTTGTTCAACCCATTTGCATCATCACTCTAAATATATTATCTATTAAAATGAATGTTACTTTGAGTTATTGAGTGCTTAAAAGCTATAACGGGTCGTAATTTCAACCCTTAGTGAAAAACGATAATCATTGTATATATGGATCACTTTGTGCTTGGTGGTTATCTAAATATTTGCAGATTATTTTTCCCAATGATGAAAATGGGTTAAAGACGTAAATCCACGCCAATGGTTTGTATAGCTAATTATAAGGTTTGGAAAATGTTTAGTTAATATGTAATCTATAATTTAGGGGGGGAGGGAGTTAAGAATTTGTATGAAATGTTTAATAGTATGTATTATACAATATTATTCAATTTTTTTTATTAATTATTTCTTTGTTATTTGTCAATGAGCACTAAATTCTATTTTGATTATATTATTTGTGTTAATTGAGTAAATTAAAAAGAATATTACTAAGTATAAAAAAAAGATTTCTAATACACAGTGATAATCTTGCATAATTTAGATTTAAATTTGTTAACTAATTTAGTTAATAATAATTTTATTGTTTAAAAAAATTGTATCTTTCCTTCTTATTTTAAAGCTGAGCTATTTCTTGATGTAATTGACTGATAACAATAGTATTCAATGACTGAAAAAATTTACTGCACATTATATTTTTCCTTGCAGGAGGGAGACATAACTGATTTGATCTTCCTTTTTTTTTTTTTAATCTCTGAACTAAGACTGATCATGAATTGGTAATTAAGCTTTAAATTGGCTAGTTAATCTCATTGTATATTATGTCCATTTTTTAACTTTCTGTGATTTTTTTTAACATTTGGCTTGTGATTCGAAGGAGTTAACATTGAATTATTTGCAGTTTGTTTTTTCATTTTTTTTAACTTGATTTACTTCACTAAATTTATTGTATTTGAAACTCAGATAAACAAGTTACATTCCAAGTTTATGTTTTAGCTTAGTTTTTTATTCTAATCGCTATTATCCTAGTTATAATAAATATTATATAGTAAAGAATAACTAACATATCCATGTGTCTCCTGTAAAACAAATATTACCTCATCAACCTGTATTACTTTAATACTTTTTCGTTTTGTGACTTTTGGCCAAGTTATGAGGTACCATAAAGTTCCTGAAAATTATTAAATATTGTTATAGAAGTGAGGAGAGGGATTTACTCCTTGGAGTAAACTAGGGAGGAAGGGGGGGGGGGAGTCAGCTATCTAACAACTTTGCAAGGTGAGGCTGAGATAGAGTCTATGTTTGCCATCCTGGTAATCATAGCTAGCATATTAATTGTCAAATTATCTGAGATATAATTTATAACAGAGAAGCCTAAAGGGAGTAGACTGAATAAATCTCCTTTTGCGTGGTGGAATAAGTACGTAGTGAAATTATAGAAGCTTTGTATCAAAGATGACTATGATTAATAAATACCTAAGATTGGGTAGTGTCGGTCAAAATTATCATAATTTTGATTATTTTTTTAATTTAGGGATGTCTCTTTTTAGATCTCATAAGTGTTTTATTAATGGAAATCGATTAAATATATATTAGTATTTTGTAATAATGTGATTTAATGTTATATTAACTTAAATTAGTAATAAAGGATATAACTTACTGTTTTTGGTTGTTTATATTATATATTTATTTATAACGACAGCAAAACTGTAATGATTGTTATAAAATCTATTTAGTGGTTTTATTTATTACAATACAAAATTCAAGCTGATATAATGTTTCTTTTTCCTCTTAACAGACTTTTATTTTATGAGCAAGCCTTTTATTTTTGAATAATCAATGTTTGACCATAGTATAATATTGAAGAAAGAGATGGTCCAGGGTGATTGTCATGAACAAACATAAAATTTTAAACATTTTTATTCTTTACCCTCTGATCTTTTATCCATATTTCTATAAGAAATCAAAACGTACTGCTTTTACTGCTATTGTATCTATGTTCCATTTCTTTCCATCCATTTCCAGTTCTGCCACTATTGTTTTGATTTTCTCTAATTACATTCACATATCCACTTTCGCTGGGTCCTCTCCCTTAAATTTAACACAGTTTTTGTTTGAATTAAATTTTTTACTCGAGGGAATGGACCAATACAAAACTAGTCAGTCTATATCTTGTGGTATGAAAGCAAGTAGGTTAATAAGCAACACTTGAAACAATCTACTAAGATGCTTATTCAATGATTAATACCACAGTTGTTGGTACTAGCAGATCTAAAGGACGGGAGGGGTCTTATGTGGCCTCCTCATAGAAAGCAATTTTTTTTTTTTCTCATTGGTCCGAGCAAAATACTTAAAACAACAAAATTAGTTCTTGAAAATTAAACTATGTTTTCTTTTAATCACTAAATATGTTCTGTTTTTACCTAACTGCGGCAAAGCCGCCAGGAGGGTAATGTGTTCAGGTTGACTATTTGGAAAGTATTAATGATTTGTTTGAGCAAATGGTAATTTTTTAATTTTGATTGTCAGATCATTCGGTGGAATCCCCTAAGTGTTATGGAACAATTTGGGTTCAAAATACTGACAAAATTGTTATATTTAATTCTAGGAGCAAAAAAGGAATAATATTTATTATTAGATAAAGATTTATGCATCCATCAACAATTGAAATTTATTAGTTTACATTGTTGCTGAAGACAGTGAAACGGACATTTAACCATCTGATTCATAGCATATTTCATTCTTTGGAATTCCAAACTGATTTACTATAAGTGCTTCCAAGTATGATCTACTTGAACTCCTCAAGTCAATAAGACCTTCAAATGACATTATAAGACTCTGTAACAAAGTATATGATTATGTATAAATTATTGCTTAAAAATTAATTAAGAAATATTATAATTTTAACTATAGAAAACTTTAATAATTATTCATTTTCTTAAAAAAGATATTCTCATTCAACCAATTGACTTTCCTGCTATATTCATTAATATACACATATCTAAATTACCAGGGGAAAAAATGGTAAATAACAGACTTGTACATTTTATGGAAGAAAATAAAATTTTGTAAATGTAGTATGCTTCTGAAGTAGCATTTTCACAAAAAGATGAACTGGTTATGTACTCTTAGACTTCTTGATACCGTACCAGTGATACCATGACTTAGGCTTTTTGATACCATGCTGAGGGGCTAATTAATGTAGATGTTAAATGATTATGGCATTAAGTGAGAAATTGAGGGCATATCTTAACACATATTCGTCTAGTAATTTTTTGCTCCGCCATTCACAAAATGTCAGCATCTCTTATCTATGTTTTGTAAAAATTAGAATTAAAACATTTCTTTATTGATTAATAGTGATAGAGTAACTCAATTTAGAATTAATAGAACAAGAAACAATCATTTTCTGTAAACGAATTTTCGTTATTTGGCTGTTGGAGAATGTTTGCGAAATGACAAATTTTCGTCATGCAGACGAATATATGTTAAAAACTGTCTCAAAGGAAAAGAAATAATGTTAGAGTTGGAGCTTCTTTCCCATTATTCCACATTTCTCAAAAAGTACACCCCAAGGTTCAGTGTGATCTTGTTTCGCAATTAATGATTTAGCAAAGGGACATTGAGTATGATCAGAAGAAACCTGGCAAAGTCAAAACTAGGTTACTCCGAAGACTGGTTTAGGAGGATGGAGAGTTGTATTTTGTGCAGTGGAAACTACTGTGAACAATTGTAGAAAACAAAGTTGTATTGCAAAACTTTTCTAGTGCCCCTTGCATACATTATAATAGGAACTAAACTTCATTATTTCCTAGTTATAAGGATGAAAATTGGTGCTGATTGTTTGTTCTAATATATGATACCTAAGCTTAAAAAAAATTCAAACATAACACAAAAATAAAGTCTGATTTGGATTGTCTTAACATGGCTTTACTCATCAATTGAGAAACCCTCCATCTAAAGCATCGATTAGTTTATTATAAGACCAAGGCCTCCTCCCATTTGTGATGCTCAGTTGTGCTAGAGTTTTGCCCATATAAGGAATGAAATAGTTTTGTTTGTATTTATAGATTAAATAATAGTCTGGGTAAAACAAATGCAGTTGTCTACGGCCACCCTGTGCAACTCAGCTATAGGGCTATTGATCATTTTGAATCGGCACTAGGTCTAAGCTGGGATTAAACTTAATTTGTAATAACGTCATTAATAATATTTCAACATAAATCTATTGGACGGGATCTTGCTTGCCTTCAAAAATGTACTAATTATTCCTGCAGAACCAACTGCTAGCTTACATTCTACATTGACAAATGGTCTACATATTACAAGGAAATAAGTAGGAACTGTTGCCAATTTCAACTCCTTCAAAATTTGTCTGAAATGACCTATTTACATTAAAAAAAAAAATCTTTTTGTGTATACAGCTTATTTGAATCGAGCAGCTAATTGGAAAGAATGAGCCATTGTTATGTGGCTTAATGCACATGTTTCTCATTTACAAACTAAAAATACTTCTTAGAAAAATTTACCACTCTTTCTAGATGAATTGTCATTCATGGAATAACTAACTATTCAACTCCACTAGAATCTTGATACTCCTCCTCTCATGTTACCAGGTAAATTATTCCTTGTGATTTAGTATTTAAAATTTGTACTCACTTAACCAAAATGCAATTTTTGCTTTCATAGTAAGTTAATGGTTCTTAATTTCAGTTACTAGGTTTAACCTGGTTCAATTTTCATTAAATAGTATTGTTAGAACTTGCAGGAGGGTACTTACGTTAACTTTATCAACATATCCCAGAACATAAGATAAATCACGTAACAACCAATGATCACCATATGTCATGAATAACAATATTTGTTTTGCGTCATCTGGAAATGGTATTTCTTTCCGAGATCCCTTTATGTCTTCTGGTGGTAACAAAAGCTTGAAACAATTTTTAAAAATAATTATATTTTGTACATAAAAAAATGTATCAATAAAATTCTAATTTAAATTTTTTAAAATACATCACATGATGGTTTATAATGGTTGACTATAACTAATTTTTCAAAATCTTGATTTTTTTAAGATTTCTAAATATGTTAACTAATTATTTATTTTATTATTCGTTAATACTGACGCTGTGAAGTATGAGTATGTTTTGGTAAAGGTTCCTGAGTGTCGAGTATAGAATGGTATATAGGTTCAATTTTTACCTGAACTGGTCAGGTAATGTTTTTTGTGATGATCCTGAGAATTGAATCTTGACACTCCCACTTTGGTTACTATGGAGTGGTTACCCTTGAGATAGTCATCAACGGTTGTTAAAAAATGCCAACAGACCAATATTTTGGACTTTCCTCCAGACCAATAATAGTAATACTACCAGCCACTCATTTTTATAAGACTTATCAGATTTTGTTATAGACCTGCTTAAACTTTTTGAAAAAAATTCTCAAGGATCATGGGAAAGTAAAGTTGTATCCTCAGGTTCATTCAGTGAGATTACTTACTGTAACTCGCAGATATCCTAAAATTGTATTTTCTGTTAATATAATTATTTCCTAGCGAACACCAATAAATACTTGAGCAAACAAAGTTTAATGCTTAAGTCCTGATGAAAAGACATAAGTATATAAAACATTACAACAGTATACATTGATCAGAGATGCTTCTTGATTTATTTCATTGACTAGGATACCATGTATAGATTAACGTAATATATATATATATATATATATATTATATATATATATATATATATATATATATATATATATATATATATATATATTTTTTTTTTTTTATCTATCTTCTATTTATATTTTTGTTCTATCACTAGTCCTCTTCAGTTATCATTCAGATGTGTTTAGTGTCTATTATCAAAAATTGTCTGCATTTTTTCATTAATTGCTATATCTTTCATTTGTCTTGAAAACGAGGTCTATACAGGTGCCTAATCCAGATCACTTATAAACCTTATACGTGATTTAAGTGTAAATTAGCCATTTCTTTAATATTTTTAATTATTATTTGAATAAAATACTGTAAAGTATTACTTAAGATTTCTTTACAGTGGCAATATTTCTTAAACATGATTTTATACCTAATTATTTTTCAAGTTTATCAAGGTTATTTTTGGAATTAGAGCGGCACAAATGACTAAATAAATGAATTATAAAATAAATAAATGTTGATAATATGAGATAACTGTTTAATATAAACATTTAAATTATAAATAATTAGCTACACCCTTATAGTTTAACTCCCATTATGTAAATATTGATACTACTTACTTGTCCTAAAATACAAAATATTATCGCTTGTTCTTTCGTTACTGAGTCAATTTTATATCGAAGCCATTTTCTTTCTTCTTCCAACTGAAAAAACAATAAATATGTTGTAAATCTTAAGAGATGATTTTACATTTTTTTTTAATTACATAAAGGTACTAAGGAGCTTACCATGTTTTGAAGTAACACTTTAGATAGATAATTTACAGTTATCTCGTTAATTACTAACTTTTTAAATGGTCTAAACAGCTTTTTACAAATATTAAGTAATTGTTGCTTATATACCATTGGTGACTGTTTGTTCTGTTTTTCTTTAACAATAGGTGCAGCCATTACTAATGTGCTATGTCTAATGACCAACATTTACTTTTAAAGAGGAAGTTTCCAGTATGGTTACATGAAGATATTCTTGAGCCTACTTACTCAGCATGATCAACTGTCGCATGATTGGTTACTTCTTTTCTCTTAATAATTACTAGCATTTTTCAACACGAAATATTCGTTGCTCATTGAGATACTTTATTATCATTTAGGATAGTTTAAATACAATATTAAATTCTTAAGATTGAATTTTTAAAAATTAAAATTAATTTATTATCATAAATAAATTTATCCCTCCATTAATTGTTAAAATACTTGCTTTTGAACACAAGATAGTTTAATTATGATTCATTGTTGTTATACTGATTTTTTTTTTTATTGAATAGTCAACTTTTATTGACTTTCAATATAACTTTATTGATTTGATAAAGGAGTTAAATTTTCATCACAAGGAGGAAATATCTCTTACTCTCTTTATCATCAAAGTAAAATAAAAAAGCATTTTAAGTAACTATAATGTTAAATATGGAATGTAATTGCTTTACTGTTCCATTCTCAATTATGATATAATTTGAATTAAATTCTGAACTATACTAGTACACATAAAGTGTACAAACTAAAATCATTATCTTTCTCCAATAGTTCCATCTCTTGGTTCCAATCTTTCCTCTCCCAACGCACCCAAGCAGTCTCCATACCCAACCAACCACTATCTGCTTTCCTTTCTTTATCCTCTGGAGTTGCCGAGGGTTCAACCATATCTCCTCTCCTTTTCAGCTCCTACATTAACGACCTACCTAAATCAATTCTCCATTGTTCCCATCACCTTTATACAGATGATCTACCTATCCTTTTCTCCCTCTGAGTTACTGGGGGCATTTACCAAGATTCAAGAAGACCTTGATCGAATCAATGCCTGGACAAATGTAAATGGATTAAAGTTAAATGCTGCCAAAACTCAGGCCATTGTCATTGGTTCCAAGCCCCTTATTAGATCCCATACTGACTTTCCCATATTACACCTTAATGACCAGCCAATTTCCTTCTACTCCTCTGTTAAAAATTTAGGATTTTTCATAGATCAAACCCTCTCCTGGACCTACCATATTTCTCACATTTCCCGTCGGACAATTTCTACCCTTAAACTATTTCATCGCTTCCGCCATCTCCTACCTCAACATATCCATAGACTCCTAATTTCCTCTCTCATCTTTCCCCACTTTGACTACAGCTGTGTGGTGTATGATGGCCTCTCGGTGGAGCTCCGTGATAGACTGAAAAGATTAATGAATAGCTGCGTAAGATTTGTTATTGGTTCCCCGAGGTACTCCCATGTCTCTCACCACTACACTGAGTTAAGGTGGCTCTTCCCCTCCTTCCGAAGACAATATTTTCTAGGTACGTTCCTCTACCAAATCATCAACAACCATCGTCCTTCTTACGCCTACAACCTTCTCCAGTTCAAATCCTCAGTCCATTCCCTGTCCACAAGATCTCGACCTTCTGACCTTTACATGCCTTCTCACAGATCTGCCTCATTCCAAAATTCCTTTATTGTTCGCTCTGTCAATTTCTGGAATTCCCTCCCTATCAAAATTCGACATTCTCCCTCCATATCCACATTCAAATCCCTCCTATTCCAATTCCTATCACAAAAACAGTCAGATACTTGCTAACCATTCGAGCGGATTTTAATAGAGAATTTGATACATTTTTATTTTTTAATTCTTTATTTTTTTCGGAAAAGTGTATACTGGTCTATAAGAGCAAATAGCTTTAAGTGTCTTGTCATAGTATTAATGGTTTTGTATATAGTTTAGTTTGTTTTGTATATAGAATTTTTACCTTATATTTTTTTTACATTATTTCTTTTTTTCGATTGATTTTATTTTGGCCAGATGTAATATTTTAATTTTGTTCTATTTTGTTATTCTCAAGGGACTGTGTCCCAGAATAAAGTTATTTTTCTATCTATCTATCTATCTAAAGTGAAACTTAGAAGTACCCTCAGGGCAATTAGAGCAGTAACAGCAATGGATTGACAATAAGATCCATGTTTAAGAGATATTTGAATATAAATAAAACTACGAAAGAGAACTAAGAAAGGTCTTTAGGTCAGTTGTATTTTAGTAGGTGATTCATATTACTCTATAGGAAGAATGAAACAGCCTTTGGGAGAACCAAGATATGTAGAATTGTGAAATTGTAAGTCATTCATTTTTAGTTTTTGAAAAATAATGTGGCAAGGATTTAGTATATCTTTCATTGTTAAAACCATATTTCTAAGATTAAACGGAGAACTCTGAAAGCTATAGTAGTAAGATATTGTTGGTCCTTGAAGAGAAGATCCTGCAATGAATCTAGCTCATCTCCAGAAATAGATACACATCTGAATCAGTTGACTAATAGAGAACTGTTGCTATATATATATATATATATATATACTGTATAGCTCTTACACATTTTTTTCTCAGGTCTGATACAGATTTATTCTGATTTTCCTCATCAGATTCAGAGTTGGAACGCTTAATTTGGGAATCATTGGAAAAGTAAGATCCAAAAATTGTTGTGGTAGAAGCAGTGTCAAAGTGATCATGATCCTAAAAAAAAGAAAATAATGGTCTCAAAAACATTAAACAAGAATATCTGGTGAGAAAATGTTTATTTGAAAAAACTTAATTACTTCTAAATTTAAATCCTGTTGAATTGAGTCTTCAACTTTCAAGCTCATAAAACGATTCAGCAATGGATCAGCTGCAGGTGGACCTTCTATCAACAGGATTTGTTTGGCCTCATTTTTGTTAATATCGTTGTTATTTGCTGTGTCCATCAACATTTTTCCTACATGAAAATGTTTTATTTTCATTACATATTAGTTTTTACAGAGAAAAAGTGAACAACTAATTTTCCTAGTTTTCTTCGATAGTTTCATAACCTATAAGTGTTTTTATCTTTAACCCAAGGAGTGCTATTATTGAAGCTAATTAGCTAACATTGAAAAATAGGCAGAATATAATGATTTTTTTAAATATTAGAACATGGCTTAAAGAGTTAACTATTAACACTTATACTGTTTGTGGATTGTTTTCAAACTGTAGTATTATAAATGTTTATTTTAATCTTCTCATTCTAATGAAAAATTATGATGTATGAAAAATTAAAATATGTAAGCCGAGGATACAGACAGTTGTGGAAAAGTAAAACTGGAGGAAAATCCTAACTCGTGTTGGTTTTGTAGAGGATGTTGTCGTCATTACTTATTCCAAGTGGGAGGGCATTTAATTGAAAATGGAGAAAATCAGGGTGGTAAGCATTGGTTGTCAAGAGGAAGTTTGCTGCATCAGGGAGGAGTATACCTATCTTGGAGCAGTGTTCAGCAGAAATGGAAAAATGGACCAAGAGCTTTCAAACATGATTAAGAAAGCTAGTAACATATATTGCCAACTTTGCAACACTGTAATGGAAAACAGAGAGGTGGAAAACTATATAAAATTAAACATCTTTAAGGCTATCTACCTACCTACCCTTCTCCAAGGAAGTAAGAGCTGGATCTCACTGGGCAGGCACTAGATTCTATAGCCGTGGAAATGAATTACCTCTGAAGAGTTGCAGACAAGACAAGAAGAGACAGAATTAGGAATGAGAGGATACAAGGGGGACCATGGCTGAAAAGAAGCAGCTGAGATGCTCTGTAACGAATGCATGAGGACTGGGATCCAAAGAAGTTTTTTTAAGCCAAGCCTATCGGACATCGTCCTCCATCAAGAGCTAGATTGGTATCTAAACACCACATCTCCAAGATTGATCAAAGGAGGGAAAGTCTATAAATTCCATGAAAGCACTGGTTTGGGATAAGGATGCTTGACAGACTTGGATTGGGCACCTCCATGATAGAGCCACAAAAGAGGATGATGAAGGAGAATGTATGAAAAATTTCAGAAACTTTGAACATGAGGTATTAAAATTGAAAAATTAATAATTTGAGAACAGAATTCACTTCTTACAAATCTTTTGGATTATAACTACAAAGTTGATTCCATAAGAGAATAATTATTACATTTACCTACTATAAATTATAAAGCAAAAACTAAGTAATTTAATTATTAATATTGTTCACTCACTTATTTTGTAACAGGTTTATAGGATGTATCTTGTTTTATAAGTCAAAACTCATTTTTCCACTGATGATCTGATGGTACTTTACATTTTGGGACTACTTTTTTAGAAATTTTTCACTCAAGATTATCATTTTGTATGCAAATCTTTTGATACTTGAAGTATTTTCCTAGGAAAAAGTGGAACTAAAATTTTAATCAGATCATAGGCTGTTACTACAAATGTGGAGTGAAGCAAGAAATTAATTCTTGAAAAAAAAAAGTATTACTGTAATAAAACTACTTGTCTCATAATATAAAACTACAACAAATATTTTAAAAATTGATAAACATATGTTAACTCATAGCAATACATTTATAGCTGTTGTTTTGATGGATGAAATAACATTTTTAAAAATAATAATGGGTTTTATTTAACATATTTATAAAAATTTTAAGATGATCCAAGTATTTAAAATCCATTACCTTAATAAAATGACAATAATAGAGGCAGGCATGTGAGAATATAAGTTATATAGAAAAAACTTCATATTAAAATTTATCACCTCGTATTTATTTACGAGTGACATTGACAGTTAGGGCAATCATAGCTTCTATCACCACTGAAATTATTGATTTGTTATTATTCTTCCACTACTACAAGTTTTTTTATTTATGATTTAAATATGATTGTATTGAACTAAAATTTTCAATTACTTAGTATCAATTATTTTTGATGAATTTTGAAAAACAAAATTTCTTATGGTAAATAAAAATGAGGTAAAAGCATCAAAGCAGATGAAATGGCAGGCAGCTCTAAATGGTAGGCTGGATAATGAACCAACCTACCTTCCCCCTCAGTAACCAGCCTGAGACATATGTGGGAACAATATTCAAGTACATAAGAAGTGCTTTTTTTTTTCAAACAAACAGGAAGAGATTGAAAATGAAGTCCACCACTTCGGTATTTTCCATTATATTCAGCTAGTAGTTGAACCCTCACTTCCACGTTTTTTTTTTGCTCTTTGAGCGTGCATCTCTTCTACCTGATAGATAAGAATTGATAGTTTTTCAATAAATCAATTATTCTGTAAAAGTGATGAAAAACACACTGGTGCATTAAGTGAGCTACATAACTGTCCAGGAAATTATTTTGAATTCTACCATAGGCTTAGTTTAGGCAGTTTAGTTATTTCTACATAGTCAAAGGAATTTCGAAATCTTTAATGTTGGCGACGTGGAGCCATTTCCAGGAATGGCTCAAGCTGGAACAAGCCAGAACTTGGAGGAAGTGCTGGAGAAGTACAATGTGGATATAGGCGCACTGCAAGAAATAAAATGGGAAAAACAGAGATAACAGACCTTAAGAAGTATACGATCATAAATAGTAGACACCAACTAAACTACTTGGGCACAGGTTTCATGATATGGAAAAGTCAGAAGTATTTGCTTTTGAACTTTAAAATTGTTAATGAAAGACTATGTGTGATCCGTTTAAAAGGGAGATTCTTCAATACATCGATAATAAGTGTAGATGCTCCAATAGAGGATAGTGAGAATGACGACAAGGATAATTTTTATGATACCTTCTCCAGAGAATATGATTTGCTGCCTGGACATGACATAAAAATAATTATGGGAGATATGAATGCCAAGATTGGTAAAGAAGTGGCATTTAGGTCCACAATTGGACCACACAGTAAACACGATGTGTCAAATGACAATGGGCTAAGAATTATCGATTTTGCCATGGAAAAGAACATGACAATTAGAAGCACATATTTCCCACACAAAGATTTTCATAAAGAAACTTGGATTTCCCCAGAGGAAAAATAAGAAATCAAATTGACCACGTTCTTATAGAGGGTAGACATAACTCAGACATCTCGGATGTGAGAAGTTATCGAGGTGCAGATGTCGACTCTGATCACTTTTTGGTTAAAATATGTTATGGGCAGAAGCTTGATAGAAGGGTTCGAGGACATGGAGAGAAGTCTACAAGATATAACAGTGATCTCCTCAAACTGAAAAATTATTCAGATTCATTTAGAGAAAAATTGAATGGAGCCTTGATGGGCATACAAGGAAGTGAAAGTAGGGGAATGGATAATTGGAGAAGAATTGGAAGCCCATTAAGGAGGATGGCAGAAGAGGTCCTGGGGGGAATGAAACGGATTGTGGCAAGAAGTAAATGGTTTGATGAGGAGTGTCAGATGGCATTGAGGGAGACGAATGAAGCAAGAATGAAGATGCTGCAGAGAAACATGAGGCAGACCAAGGAAGTCTATAGCACAAAAAGAAGGGCTGCCAAGACTATTTGTAGGAAGAAGAAAAGAATGATGGAAAGAAGCAAAGTGGAAATATTACAAGCTGAATGGGAAACAAAACAGTCCAGAAAGTTTTACAAAGGGATCAGAGAAGGTAACATGATGGGAGGAACTGCAGAGGTATTGGATACTTGGTGACAATATTTCCAGGAACTCCTGAATGGAGATGAAAACAGTGAGGAATGTGCTGCATGGGCGTACACAAGAGGAATTGCTGAGTGGCGAAGGTGATGTGGAGCCCCTGATTATGAAGATTTCGTGGAAGTGGTTGAAATACTTAAAAACAATAAAAACCCGGGAAATGATGGCATTGACGCGGAAATGTTGAAATATGGTTGGGAGGACCTACTAAAGAAAGTATACCACTTGTTGTTGGAGGTATGGGTCGAAGAAAAAATGGCGAAAGAGTGGACGGTAGCTATTATCTGCCCAGTTTTCAAAAAAGGAGTAAGTATTTCTACATATTCATTATTAAGAACAGCAAGGTCATTGTTTTTTTTTTTTTATAAAAATACTTCAAACTTATGAGATTGAAGGCTCAAATGATATGACTTGAGACATTTTTTTCTATATATTTTGTAGTTTTACTAATAATAATTTATAAGGTATCGATCAGACAAATAAATAATTTCTTTTTAATTATGTAATTTTTATTTGTAAACCTGTCACAACTTAGTAATAATCTTTGAGTAACTTTTTTTTTTACATATATATAAACAAAATAAGATGAAGATGGGTTAATTTACTTATTGCACCACATATATTTTGGAAGATTATTGGTGTAAGCATTGACTCTTCAGGTTTGTATTGCTATGATTTTGTACTGAATATTTAATTTACTTATATGCTATAGTAATGAGTTATTTAGTAGGTTTATGTTCGTGTGTAATGAGTTATGCTTTATTAATAAGTTTATAGCCTTTTTTCCTTAATTCATATTTTCTCCTCAGTCTTTGCCCATAGGTTCTGTCATACAGAAATAAGTAAATAACAGAAAATAAGTTTATATAAACTAAAACATTTATTTGATGATATATAAGTGATGATATATAGGTAAGTAAAAGACCACTAACACCAACTCAAATTACTCACAAATTTTTAATTCTCTCACTGAATCAGGGGAGCCTGTAGTGGAGAGTAAAGGCTTAAAAAACAGCACACAAAATGGTGGGGGTTTTCAATAGACCCTCATTTAAAAGAAGCAGACTGGAAATTTTACCAGCAGTTCTGTCAATGAATGGCTCAAAAGGGGGTGTAGAGTGCATGAGCAGGGACCTAAGCGATTCCTTCAGACAATTGTTCAGGATCTTTATGGTATGAACGTATTAAAAGTTCTGATGTCTAGTTGGTGAGCCGAGGAAGGAAAAGTCACAATTTTTGGATTTAAATAAAGTAGGAAAAAATCATGTTACTTCAAAAATTTAATATTGTATTTCATGGATAATAAGTTCATTATAATTTTATTCAATTTTGTTACATTAAATATATACAATTATAAGACTCATTGTTATCACTGTTCTCAATAACTTCTGAATATCACACTCACTTCCTCCTCACATCCCTATAAATTGCATATCGTTGTATTCCTTGTAACTATTTATTAAAAAAAAACCAATGGTCCCACAAAAAAAGTGAACACAGTGTCCCAAAATTGCGTTCAACATGACGGATTGACGACTTTGACTTGAGTTAATTTTTCGGCCACTGAGATTCAGCATTTGGTGTAATTTTGCCATAATTGGCATTTTATTAAAGCTGAATAGTCAGAGAATAATAGAGTCCCTGCTTACGCACTCTTTGTAAGCGCTCTCAGAAAAGTTTTTGAAGGTAAAGTTAAGTAAAAGTAAAAAAAAAAAAAAAAAAAAAAAAACGAGGTCCCAATTACATTGAAATTAAAATCATAATGAGTTTGTAACAAAGGTTAAAGAAGTGACATATTATAAATTAATTTTTTATTCATAAATTATGTAAAGTAAATTACTTAGGAATCTTTTAAAAATAAAATTAAAAAATAATAAAAGCATAAATAGAAATGAACATTAAGCTTCTTTTGACGCTTCTTGTTGTTCAAACTTAGGATATATTTCTTCTGCTTGGGCCCAGGTCATTTTTCCAGAGGATAGATTTTTCACTACAGTTGGAATTTCCGATATCTTGAAAAAATATACATAAAAGTTTACAAAACTATATTTTATATTGATTAACAGATATTAAACTTAATAGAGATTTTAATATTGAACTTTACCTTCAGCCTGATCTGCTTCATAGAGTCACGTTCCCTCAGAGTAGCTGTGTCTGAAGTAACTGTATCAAAATCAACAGTTACGCCATAAGGAACACCTACTTCATCAGTTCTTGCATAGCGCCTACCTGGAATTATTTTTTACATTAGTTCCACTGAAAATTAATGAATAACAAATTGGAGCTGAAGAAAAATTAAGGCACATTACTGAACAGTATTAATATTAAAGAGTAATGTATTTCTTTCATCAAAATTTTTGACTACTGTTATTGTTAATAATTATACTTGCAATAACAATTGAGAGAGTAAACTGGATACTATGGATACTCAAGAATTTTCCAGGGTTTTTAGTGAAATATAAAACTTCTTTAAATAACCATGAATAAGACTAATAATATAATAATGAAGAGAAGGATGGTTGAGGTGATCAGTAAGAAATAAAAAGGAAAAAATTTGTATATGTATTATATATTAATTTCAAATATTCGCCATTATTACTTAACATTTCTCTGTTTTATTTTATCTCCAGATTATTTTCATCCTCTTTCTATTAAACTTTAATTTAACTATCCATAATATTTACGAGTAATATATCTCTCGTCCATTATTTACGCTTCCGGTACTTTAGTTCAAACTTTGTCAGTCAACCATCAGAGATGATGCAAAAATACATCTTCCTCCTCCCTTGCTACCATATCTCCACTCTATTCGAACTATCTCTTCGAACTGATTGGTTTCTACCTTTTTGTAGTTTACTCCTTCCTTTCATTCTGTTTTTATATCTCCACTTTGTATATATTGATACATTTACTCATTTATTTTTTACTTTATTTTAACTCTTTATTCTATTATACGTAGTCAGTACATGTTGATAGACTTTACAATATCTCAATTTTCTATCTAACTATTCTATTTACAATATCTTAATTATACGATTTAGTTTTAACTTCTTATATAACTTCATATTCCTTTTCTCTGCTTTAAATTTTATTCTAAGATTACTAATTTAGTACTTATGTCACCTTATTTTGATTATGTTTACTTCATTATTCCACACTTGTAACGGTTATTATTATTTATTTCTTAGTTCTTGTTATTGTCATTATTCTACTCACTCCATTTTACTTTAATATTTTTTTTACCTAAATTGTTTATGTTTCTCATACCTTGTTATCTCGTTCTTTTCTTAGCCCTGATGAAGGCCTGAACTTCAGGTTGAAACGTCAGCAAATGTTAAAATAAATATTATTATTTATTTTGACCTTTTTATTTCTGACTGATCACCCCAACCATCCTTCTCTTCACTATTCACGACAGTCAACCATCAACCCACAATTAATAATATGATACTTTTTTTTTTTACAACCAAACATATATTTATGTAGTTTATAATATATTATTAATACATGTACAAAAATCCATCTACAAATAATTAATCTTTAAAAATATATATATTTTTACCTATGGAACCACTGGAATCATCAACACGATGGCTTACATCTTCACTCCTTAAGCCAGCACCTAAACAAATAGATTAAGTAACATTAAAATATAGCATCTTAAATTAAATTAAAAATACTCCCCCCAAAAATTATATTAACACAATATTATGACCACAAATAATAGATAAATAGTAAAAAAATACTTATATAAAATACATTATAAACTTAGTAATCCGAACTTGCAAAAAAAAAAAAAAAAAAGGAATGGTGGATAGAAGTTTCTTCAGAAAAGGAATACAGAGAGGTAGTAACAAATAATAACAACTGATAAAAATGTCTGCATGCCTGGCTGATTTTCTTCGCTCATATACAGGAACCCTTCCAATGGTTATTTTCCAAGAAACCATCTCTTCTTTGAAAAAAAAAAAACAGAATGACAGTAAGGCTTGAAGATACAGTGTATCATTTCAATCGAAAACTGCAAACAATATAAGCTTATAACTAATACTCCTTCAAAATAAGGAGAAAAAACAATGAATTTAACTGCATTAAAAATATATGTATTTTTTATACACACAAGTCAATGTTATAAAGTGAGTAGTGTGTCTCGTCCATGAAGTGGTATGTATATATTTATTTAGTCTCCTATAAGTATTATCCCAAACCCTCTGTATAATCTAAACTCTCAATGTATACTTCTCTATTGCACTTAGTTAGGATTGAAATTGCATTGTATTTCTATTTAAATATACAATTTAGAATTCATATTTTGGTTTGGCAGACCTTATATGGGCTTCTGCTTTTCAAAATGGTAATTAACATGAAGATTTAGATTCATTTTGAATTTTGTAAAATTTGGATACATTATTTTGAATTATGAGTTTAAACATTACTGTAATATTATATGGCAACTGGTTGGCCTTTGCAAATAATTTACAGAGAAATATTAGTATCTATAAGTAACCAAATGGTAATATATTATGGAATTGAGTAAATTCAATTGATTTTGAGGGGAAGGAATTAATTTTTTCCTCTCTGTAGCTAACATAAAGGAAAGGTTCATTATTGAAAAAAATAAATCAAAATGTGTACAAAGTTCAAGAGACTATATTTATAATTATTATCTTAACTAATACTATATCTATATCTATAATTATTATCTTTACTAATAATGGTCCAATTTAGATAATTTTTGTTTTTAGCTAATTTAATTGTCTTAAATTATCATGTTTCAAGTGTGTAACTAAGAAACTGGCAATTAATTCATAGATGGAATAAATAAAATCCAAATAATGTTGTTAATATAGTCACTGTTAAACAACATTATTGGTGCCATTTTGTTTCTTTGACAACTGGCAAAGATATTCAATTCACAATACAAATTTCATATAACAGCACCTACTAATAGTGTCACATTAAACATGTCAAGCTGTGCGCCTACAAACTACGATTTGTGGAGAGCATTAGTTTCCTGTTACTACTTAAATGTTTTTTATTTAAATTGCTGTTGGCAAATCTAAAAGTTGCTTTGAGTGGTTCAAAAAATTCAAAAGTGGGCGATGTTTACATGAGAAATGAAGAGTGTGGAAGGCTACTGAAACAGTTTGGAGAAAGGATATTGCAAGCATTGTTGGATGGGGATGATAATAAACCCAACAACAACTTACCGATCAAATAAATATAACACGAGAAGTTTTCTCTATACCTTTGAAAGACACAAAGAACCTCAGAAAATCGCCTCCAAAATGCTGCTTGCTGAGACAAAAGAAAGTCAACTCTCCATCAAAAGTGACATGTGATGAAAAGTGAACATATTTTGAGATCCTAAGCATAAAAAACGGTAGGTAATGCCAGGCAAACCATCAAAATCGATTACAAGGACAAGTCCCTGAGGCAAGAAGACAATGCTGTTTATTGGAATTAGAGGAGTGTGGTCTACATTGAGCTGCTAAAACTTGGCGAAACAGTCAATACTTAACACTACTGATAACAAATGCTCAATTTGAATCGAGTATTGCATGAAAAACAACCAGAATGTAAAAAAAGAAAACAGAGTGATTCTGCTTCATGATAATGTACCATCACACACAGCCAAACCAGTGAAGGAAATGATTGAGCTGTTTAGTCGGGAAATATTAGCAATGGACAATACTTCAAATAAAATATTTCTTAACATATTTATGCAATAAACATGTATTTTCTCTACAACAATTATGGTTTCATCTCAGGACAGATGGCAGAGGATAACTACCCTTACTTCAAGGAGTATGTGAGGAGGTGGAGAGAGTGCCCAGCAGAGAAAGGGGAAGAACCAACACTCTTAAGGCCAACGGACCCACAGGATCAAAGAAGAAGGTTGATAGCCACCGGAGAACAAATAAAAATCTTTTCATGTTTATATACCTGGTGTACAATCAACTACAAACTGTATTCTTATTGAGTTATAAGAAAATAAAGTTGTATTTTCTTTCTTAACCTTTTTCCCTGCCTTTTCTTGGGGACGCATACATTTTTGGATATAGTAGAATGTAATCTTCTAAATAATGGTTCAATCATTAATTTTGAAAAAGTATTAAGAAAGATATGGCATTCAGACAAAAAAAGAATACTTCTGAGAAATAATATAAAAAGAAAATTTCAATTATTTTAATTTGGTCAATTAATCTTTTTTGTCTATTAAAAAACTTTATTATATTTTAATTTTGGGGCAATAATTTACAAATAAAAGTTTTAACAAAACAACCAAAGGTTAGACCAAGATGTTATTAAGTTCAATAAAATTTATGAATGTCCTATGGAGGTTAATAAAACTATTTTAATTATTATTCAACAAAAAGTATATGTAAAAATTATAGTATAACTTACAAATAATTTGGACAAAAGGCTGGAACTCAGCATTTCCACTAAGTGGAAAAACGCAACACTTCAAAGGAGCAATGGATGCAGGAAACGAGAAATACTAAAACAAAATGTTGTTGTAATAGTTCAATATCCATGAATGAAAACATAGATTAAATAATAATAAAAAGTCAATACATTTCTTTGTTGATCATTCTCTCTGCTCCTAAAAGAATGTTCTAAAACAGAATATAAAATTCTGCCAATTCCGAACGCAGGTTCAACGACAGCAGGAGTTATTTCTTCAACATGGACAGTTTTCTGTTCTCTTTTCACAACTACCATATCATTTGTAATTTTGCGGCTTTGGCCATCTATATTCAATTCAGAGGATCTAAAATAAAATTTTATTTAAATAATTAACTTTACACTAAAGTGTTCAATTTTATTAATCTGAAAAGTTCAAGTCTACAGTTATTGAAGAGTGTAGGATTCTCTGGATCCCAGAATAAGAACAGTGTCCAAAACTTATAAACATTTATGATAAGAAACAGGTTATAATAGTTTAGTAATATTTCCAAACAAAGAAAGCATCAAAAGACATATCAATGATATGATCAGAAATTAGAGTGAATTTAAAATTATCTCAAAATTCTTCAATACATAAAATATGAGAAAGAATATAATTACCCATTTTTTTTAAGTTCATTCTCTAATGAATCTACATCTTCTATTGTGAGTTTTTCTAAATAATCAATTATTCCTTTAGCATCTTTCTTGAATTCTTTCCCAAGAATCCCTTTGTTTGCTACTGCTCCTAAAACAAAACAAAAAAATTAGTTATTTAAAAATATTAATTAAAGAAAAATATTATAAAAACTGTTATAATATATTATAAAAACTGTTATATTATATTATAAAAACTGTTATAACTATGATAACTAATATCTAATAGGTAGTAGCTTCAAAAAAAAAAAAAAAATTGTGTCTATAAGGAATAAAGTCCCTTATTTATTCATATTTACTGAATCATATGAAATTAAAATTGCAGTATAATTTTGATTTGTACCTAATTGGTACGTTCTATAGAGTATAATAATTCTAATGTCAGCTATAACGACTTATAGTCTTTAGTTTTTTTTTTTATGGAGACTATAGTTACTATTACTACAATATATCCGGGTGAAAGAACCAATTGCTGTTTTCAAAAGATAATAGTTAGAAATTTAAATTATAATAGTCTTCAAACTTCAATTTCTTTGATTAATTCTTTGATATTTCAGGGCAATTGGCCATTATTAAAACCATCTCAATTTTAGCCTTATATATTTTTCTTTACATGAGCATTTTTTTATCAAGATAATTTGTTGCTATTGTTTATTCTCTTTTAACTCCTTCTTATTTTATTGCACTATTAGTTCTACCTATCATTAATATACTGTTCCTAACAAAGAAATGATTTTTTTTTCTATTTAAGTAATGTTAGCTTCTTAACTCCAATCCAATTAATCCTTTCTATGAAGACTACAGTTATTATTAATGAAGTTTCATGTAAATTACATAAGAAGTTTTCAATTGTCAGCTTTTGAATTACTGCCTGGGAATCAACTAATGTAACAGTCAAAGATCGTTCACTTCTCAACACCTCTACCCACACACAAAATCGCCACTACTCACTAATATTAAAGTTGAAGAGTTAAGATCGGATATGAAAGAAAGAATAACTATCTGGATAACATTAGTCCCAATTTATTATGTTCAACTTTTTGACAGGAACTAAATTTTGGATATTATATAGATTATTACATTTTTAATCTATGGGGTAGAAACCAGTAATTACTGATAAGGATATCATTATTTAAGAATTTTCTAAAGGATTGATGGGGAGTCAGACCACTTGTATAAACGGGAAATATGAAAAGCCTGGCTAACCCTAAGTCTTCCTCTAAGTCTAGTGCCCCCTGGTTCAGTAGGCAATAGGCCTAGAGGAAGAAGAAGGCATAGGTATTTCTCTAACATAGAACAAGCGAGATGAAAGACATTGCAGGAGATAAAGACTCTTGTGCGAGACAGAGCTAGATGGAGATCCTGAGTTGAATAAACTTAACTCAAAGCTGAAATGCACAAGGAGAAAGTTAAAGAATAGCAGAAGAAAGGTCTAAGTCATGATGGACAACTAAATTAATAAAGGGCAGCTAAAATTATTTGTTTATATACATATATTAAATGAAATAAAAATATAAGATAAATGAATAACCAATGTAATACCGTTCAAGATAACAATATTAAATTAGAAATAATTATATAAAATTAGCATGAATGGAACTAGTATGCAAAGAAAATGAAACTGCTATCTATACAACATAAACGATAGAAGTATTACTTGTAACAAGAACTTGTTTAGGTTGAGAGAGCCTTTTTTCTGCAACAAGTCTGATCCCAGTCGCACGAGCATGCTGTGTTAGATCATAAGCTGATCTATCCGCACATCCCACAATCTCTATCCATCCCTGGAAGAATTTTAAATATAAATAAATCTGATTTGATGTGTATTTTTTTTTTCAGGATACTAATACTAATATTAAATACTACAATATTAGATTAAATACTACTAATATTATCTTATAAATAGCCAGTGTAAAGAACCAACACTTTTTTACTAGGCCAAGATCCCATTGCAATTTTTAATAATAAAAAAAAGTTTGGTTCAAGTTGCAATATTGGGTTAACAGTTTTGTAGCTTGGTGTCCACTCATACCTATAACAATTGTTAAAAAAACAGAAACACAGGATGGAAAGTGACAGCAAAGAAAGTCAGATCCAAAAATTCAGTATTAGAGAAGCCCCATAAGATTGTTGAAAAATTATTGCTGAATAAGTTTGAATACGTTTGATAGATATCTTGATTCAGATTCGACTTGGGAAAATCCGAAAACATGGAAGATATTTATAATTCTAAAGGTAAGAAGTATTCTTTAATAAAAAAAAAAAGATAATAAAAACACGATCTGAACGATAATAAAACAAGTTTAAAAGTTAATAAATATTTTTTACCGATATCAAATAGAATGAAAATATTGAGAAAAAGTAATTATATATACAGTACGAAATGAATGTATGTCTAATATTCAAAATACTTTTTCATTTAAGGATCAAATTGTTACTATACAGCCAACAATAAAGCTAAGAAAAATGCTGTGAGCAGGGGATATATGAGTGACTGTATGATAAGTAAAATTTATAAGCTTTATTAGCACTAGGATTGTCTGAAAATTCAATTGTCCAGCTATTTGTAACCAAATAGTAAGAGGTAAAACTAACCATTTAGAATGAATTTGAATTCTGTATGAGCATCCTAATAAATTTATTTATTCATAACACTACTCAAACCAAATTACTGAGTAACTTAAAATCACAATGAGCTTTGATCAACGATAAAGTTACTCCATTTTATTCTATTTCTTGAAAATAAATAACAATTTCAATGCGACTATATTACTTACGTAGGAAGTAAGAGCTTCAGCGTCCCAACAATCACATGCATAATGTGCCATTTCCTGAGCCATATGTTGTCTGAACCTTAATTTCTCAGAATCGATGCCGACGTTTAACAAATATAAATGAATTCGTGCCATAAAGTAACCTAGTGTTTCGTTTGCTACAAGACCCTAAAAAAAGAAAAAGAAAATTGGTTAAGGATTTTATGTACTCTGGTCAAAGGAGAATTGCGACAAAATATATCAGCTAAAAAACTCATTTTCTAAACTAAATTAACAGACATCAATAAAAAAATAATTTTTTTTGTGCAAGAATCAGAAAAAGCACATAAAATCATACCAATAATTTTAAGATAAATTCCGAAAACTTCAATCATAAAAATCAGTATAACAAATAAGTTTTGTAAACCTTATCAAAAACTCTTTAAGAGTAAATAGCATAAAATGTTACTGTTAGATAAAACTCTGGTTTTCTGAAGTAATAAACGAGATAAATAAAAATTTCAAATGATTACCGAATTGACAGCTTCTCCTATTGTTTTAATAGAAGGAGATTTTCCATCCATTTGATCACAGGCAGAATATAGTAACATTTTAGTATCCTGGACGCTATTGAATTTGGGGTGACTTTTGTTGGACGGATCACAGAAATGTTCAATTTCAGCTAAGGTGAATTCTCTGTGAAAAGAAAAAAAACAAGTAATTAATGGTTAAAAAAGAAATACAATTGAATTTGAAGACATATATTGACAACCATGCAGCAAAAGAATTTAAGTACAAATCAATTCATAAATGTATAACAAATAATTACCATTTATATTTAATTCACCTTAATATATCAACACTATGGTTACCTCCTTCTCTCGAACGTTCATTTATCACCCAAGACCCAAAGATATAACTTTTATTTTAACTTATGTTATGGTATAATAGTACAAGATTTCAGCTTCTGAGTACGAATTTAAGTCAGCAGAACCAATGAAACAATAGGTCTCTAGATAATCTAGGGATTCCTGCTCTCAAATTCCTAAATTGGGCTTAACACACAGCAAATGAAAATTGTACTTTGATTTTCCTAATCAAGTACAGATTCATACTAAGACTCAAGCACAGGTACTACAACAATTGATATTGTTCCCATCAAACTTTATTTGTTGTAACGATAGAATGAGACACTGGGAAATTGCATCTTTTTAACAGGGACTTAAACTGATAAAAGTTAGTTATTAATCCAAACCGTATCAAATAGGTTGTTTTAATGAAATTTTATGCTGGACAAAATCGTACATTTGGGGGCAATTTTGCAGCTACCTTCAGTAGGCAGATGGGGCTCACTTACAGGGAAGGAGGAAGTGGGAAGAAAAATCATGGTCTTCCTTGTTGGAGTGATATCCGATTTGGGCAATCATCCTTCCAAGTCCTTACCATGCTCAACATTGTTTAACTTTCATTACTTATTGCAAGCGACTTAGTACTTAAAAAATAATAATATAATGTGGAAGCACATTATTATAAACCTTAAAATGTAAAACCAAAACAAATAAATTGATTAATAAAATAAATAACTGAACATAAACATTTATTATATGCAATTTTATTCGTTAAATGACCTATTCTTAAAAATAAGCTTTTTAATAAATTTGTATAGAAAAATATTCAAAAAGTTGCTTTTATGAATTATGCCAATGAAGACAATAATTTAAAAAAATATTAGTCAAAGAATAATAAACTAACCTTACTCTGATCAGACCAGATCTAGGTGATATTTCATTACGGAAAGCATTTCCAATTTGTGCCGCAGAGAAAGGAAGCTTTCCCTGATTGAATTCCAGTAAGCGCTTAAAGTTAACAAACATTCCTTGTGCTGTCTCTGGCCTCAAATACCTTTTTAAAAAAATAGAAAATACTTAAATAATTCTTCAGGTATATAAATATTTAAATAATCGTTATGTAGGTAGCTGAACATATAAATAGCAGACAATAAAAAACAATATAGAAGTTTTAGAGATAGTAAAAATCTTCAATGTTCTCCCAAGCAGTTGGAACAGAAGATAAATGTTTCTTGATAAGAGAAAGATTCATGATCAACATAAAGCTATATACTGTAAGCCATCAAACAAAATCATGCATCTTAAACTAAGTGATGTGAATCACCACTCATGTTAACAGATCCTCAATCAGAATCATTTAATATTAGTACAGAAGTAGTTACGTTGAATTAGAAAATAAATATTTTAAATTATCATTATGTGTAAGCCATAGGTTTGATTCAAAAGATCCCTAAGGATTTTTCCCAAAAGGGGATTGGTAAGGAATGAGATCAGGAAAATAGAAACACAATATTATTTTCAATTCTGTTTCTAAAAAAAAAAGTTTAAATACAAACCCTTTGACAAGTCCTGAAGGTCCAATCTGGGTAGAAAACATAAGATTAAATTCGATAGGTTCAGAGAGGTCATTTCCAGTAAGGGGGGACTTTATATTAAATCTTTTCAATAAGGCTGCCATTTCATCTTTAGTCATGCCATCTAGCTACACAAAAAGTTTCCACGTAAAACATTATCATTAATTAAACATTAAATTATCAATAGTTATATTATTATTTATATGGTTTAAAAATTCATATAATATTTTTAAATAATAAAATTAATAACTTAATATCAATGTGAGAGCCTAAGCATTGAAGTGGGCGAGACTGTTAGAGAGCAATTAACTAAGTCATGAAATCATAAATCAATAATATTCTGATATGAATTGACAGGAAAAAAATCATCTCCATAAATCTAAGAAAATATATTTTACTCCGAGGTTTAAAAATGCACAATAAACTAAGGATAGTTAACTGATATCTGTTTGTTGGTCTAATAATATTCTAAGCAACCAGTCTGCAACTAAAAGGTAAAGAAGATCATTACAGAACTTAATCAAGAATAGTAGCTTGCATTTTATTATACCTTATACTTATGTTTGTACATTCAGAATAATAGGAAATGAAAAGGTTGAGATGATTTAACTTACAATTAAAATTAAAACAAAGTAACAAATCACTCATTCAGTGGAATAATGAAGCAATCACACAATTTTATAGGAGAGATAAAAGAATTGGAATTATTATTTTTTTTCTAACGCCTCTTGACTTATTTGACTTCCGCCATTAGTCTTCTAGCAGCTACGGTGTTATTCCAGGCGATAACTGTGATCATGTGGTTCTCTAATAAGATATCCAGGAAGCATGTGGTTTATAATAACCGGACACAATCACAAATCATTCCCTCTTCATCAGGATGGTTTACGAGATAGAGTTAATGGCCCTGTGCCCAAACCTCGATCTGGAGGACCAGGAACTATGTTGTAAGACACAGGAGTCTCTCACCTTTCTGTGAATCAAAGGAAGTGGACATTACCGTCCCCAGGCGGGAATCGAACCCACGCTGTAGTGGTCTAAGCAATCGAGTAGGGATTGCTCTTATTAATTTTATTTTATTATTAATTATTAATTGTTTAAAGTTTTTTTTTTGTTTTAAATCCTGCGGACAGGATTTAAACTCATCGCATAAACTTTTTGCAGGCACCTTAACTCAACCACCACGTCCCCAGAATTATTATTATATAAATCACATAGTTTTTAAAATTTATTGTACCAGTGTAAAATTCATCTATCACTTCAAATTTTGCTGATATTATACTAAGAGATCAATTCAATTAAACAAGATTTTCTGACAATGATACATGATAAAAATTTTGCAATTACATCGTTGTTCCTCCGGATTAGCGAAATGGTAATAAAGCAAAATAATAGAGTATTTTTTTAAAGCATTTGAATAATATATAATGGTCCTGACAATGTGTGGTCCTGACATGCCCAATGTTAGGCATGTGGGTCAGTATAATCAAAAGTGTTAAATATTTTGCATACATACAATAGCTATGAGCATGATATAAAAAATAAAAATAAGAGTATAATAAAAGAAACATCATTTATTTGAATTATCTTTTTCGATAACATATATGAATTACAAGTGCTATTTCAACAATATATTTTCAAAAATATTTACCCAAAGATAAAAGACTAATCTTGGTCTAAGTTGCCAAAAATTGAACCCAGAAACCAACTAACAGTTTTGTAACCTTGTGTTTTATCAGGGTAATTTACTATTTTTAAAATATTTTTCATTTTCCAAATACCTAAGGTTCTATCTATCTACAGAAATATAGAGAAATGCTGTACTTTTTGTTAAAAATGAAAATTCTTGAACAAATTATCAAAGAGGGGTTCTCACATTAAATTACCTTAATTTTTTCAAAAGCCATGTTGTGCCTAAACAAATAATTACTTTTATTCTGATAAAATAAAAGTCATAATAAAAGTATGACAACAAATTAGGCTTGAAAATTAAAAGATAAACCATAATTTATGAAAAGTTTAGAACACCGTAAATAAGAAACAATTGATTCACATGCAAAATGATATAATAAAGAAACTAAGAAATAGCTTCAAGGCAAGGAAGATATTTTTTTTAAGATAGATAAAGCCATGTTCACATTTAATCAACAAAACATTTAATTAAAACAATAAAGACTTATATACAGAGAATGTCATATGTCTCGGCAATACCATATTCCTGTCTATGGCAAGCTATTTGCGTTACATTATATTGCACTATCTGTCACACAGAGCATGATAATCCACAATGACATTGACAAAGAGGTATTGTGTTGCCCAGAAATATTGTGTTCTGTGTGCAGGAAGGAACCTTTAAAGGTATTAATATTTTATGGAAGCAATTACCAAAATTTTATTTTATTATATTATTATTATAGGAGCACATATTATGAGAATGAACAGGGTTGTTACATTATATAACACATTTAACTTCTTATATAAAGTAAAGAAGACAAAAGAAACTTACCTTAACAACAATATCTGCGATTTCATTTTTCAAAGCAACAGGCATTTTTGGATCAGCAGATTGTTTTTCTAATGCTGATTTAATCAAATGATCAAGCCTAAAACATTCACCGGACTTCGTGTCCTTCACCATCAAATCTGCAAATCGTTCCACGTGGCCAGAAGCCCTAAAATTTTATTGTTTTTATCATAATAAACATTTATTTGTAGGTTTAATTATTTACTTTATGTCTTCTGAATATAAGAATATTGAGAAATATGCAAAAGCAAGGAAAAGGCATCATTCTGATGGAATCTTCTCGATCAAGGGGATCCCCACAAAACAAAAAAGACATGAACCGCACTGAAGACTTCAACCCAGAAGAGATTGAAAAACCAGCTATACTGGATGTGGAAATATATGTAGAAATGCTTAAAACAAGAAAGGCCCCAGGGATGGACAACCTACCATCAGAACTGTTTAAATATGGGGGAGAAGACTTAAGATGCAATTTACTACAGTTAATCCAGAAAATATGGGAGGAGAAAAGAATATCAGAGGTTTAGAATACGGGCCTAATCTGCACTTTTTAAAGAAAGGCTCCATGTTTGAGTATAGTAATTCCAGAAGCATAGCATCTTCCTATTGCCTACAAGATAATAACCAACATTCTACCGAACTAGATATACGAGGAAAACGTTTCTAGAATGAGAGGAGTCTGAAAAGTTTCCGACCTAACAAAAATATAAAACATTTTTTCTGAATTTTTTTTTTATGTTTCGACATAGTCTCCTTGTAACTCTACACACTTCTTCCAGCGATGATCTCATCTCTGTAACCCATCCAAAAAGTACTCGGCATTTTTCTCTGCAAAATAATTGTTCATGAAGGTGATTGCCTTTTCATTTGAAGAAAATCTCTGTCCTCCAACACAATTTTCAGATTAGGGAACAAAAAGAAGTCGCTTGGGGCTAAATCTGGTGAGTAAAGCGGATGGTCAAGCAGTTTAAACCGTAATTCATGGATTTTCGCCATGGTAACCGCTGAGGTGTGCTGTCTTGGTGAAACAGGATTTTCTTTTTCTGAAAATGTGGCTGTTTTTCAGCAAGTTCTGCCTTCAGCTTGTCAAGTAATGATGCGTAGCATGCTCCTGTAATGGTTTTTCCTTTTTGAAGAAAGTCGATTAAAATAACTCCATGACTATCCAAAAAAAAGTCACCATCACTTTCCCAGCTGAGAAAACAGTTTTTGCTTTTTTTGGAGCCGGTTTCCCCTTTGCAGTCCACTGTTTGGACTGTATTTTTGTTTCGGGCGTATAATAGTGTATCCAAGTTTCATCTACAGTAATTAATCGGGGCCAAAACTCGGATTTATTTTGCCTAAACTGCGCCAACAGAGCGTTGGAAATGTTCATTTGAAAAATTTTTGGTCTGACATGAGCAAACGTGGCACCCAACCTGCGACAGCTTTCTCATATCTAACTGTTGATTTAATATATAACTAACACATTCTTTTGACAAGTTTATAACCTCTGCTATCTCTCTCACTTTAATTCGGCGGTCGTCTAGCACCATTTGGTGAACTTTGGCGATGTTTTCGTCGGTAGTTGCAGTTTTTGGACGTCCCGAACGTTCATCGTCTCCCAAGCTCTTACGGCCACGTTTAAATTCAGCTGCCCAAAATTTCACTGTGGTAAGTGATGGTGCAGAGTCCTCATACACAGAATCCAACTCATCTTTGATTTGCGTAGGCATATTGCCTTTCAAAAACAAATATTTAATGACAGCTTGATACTCGATTTTGAAGTGTTTTTCACAAAAACACTTACATCAACTCACTCAAACAACTGTTACATAAAAACTGCGCGTCTAAAATGGCTGAAACTTTGGTGGGTAACTGTCAACAGATGAACAACAAAATTCACTTGTTTTTATTTACGAGTGCTGCCATCTTCACGTTGGGTTCGGAAACTTTTCAGACCACCCTCGTATTATTCCACACAGTAGCCAGAACGATCTGGGATCAAAGTATTAACACATGGAGGAGAATGAACTATAAAGAACTGTTTAAAGAAACTGGTCAATCAATATCTCATGATATTAAGGTAAGGAGGTTAAGATGGGTGGGACATGTAGCTTGAGCAATCCACCAAGAAACCTCTAAGGAATGCTCCAGTTATAGGCAAAAGAACAACTGGAAGGACAAAAACCAGACGGATAGATCAAATCAACAGATGCCATAGAACTGCCCCCAGATAACTTAAATGAAATAACCCAAAATAGGTAGAGATGGAGAAGGCTGCTGAAGGTGACAAAAGATCAAAAAGGTCTGTAATGCCAACAATAAAAAAAGAAAGATTAAAAGTCCCCTGAATTATTTTTTAATAATTTATAATTTTTTTTCTATTGCTGCTTACAAGATTATAAAGTTAATCTCTTTTCTAATTTTTAGATTCATTAAAGTCTCACTCTACATAAATATACATTTAAAATCATCACAAAAGTTCTTAAGACTTATATATAACTTATATATATTTATATCAAAACCAAAAAAAAAGAACCTACTGTAAATCAAATATTAAAATATTAGAAGAGATATTGATTATATAATGTGGTTATGTCTATCTACCAATTAAAAATAAACAAAGTAATAAATATAGACAAGATAATTGTGCAAATCTTATAATTAAATATATATATACATATATTATAAAATAAAAATAATGATCATCTATGAAAACATCTACATATGTAATAACACTTATCACTAGATAACAATTTTAACTATATAAATAAAATTTACAGATGATATCTGTAGGTTAGGATGCATATATATACTTAGTAGACAGTGAACACCTGATATTCTAAAAATTAAACAATTAGTTTTGTTTTAATATAAGAGATTAAATAATAACAATTAAAATTAAGAAATGTCAAGTATAACCAAGAAACGTAGCTGTTCCTCTAAATTAACAAAAGATAGGAGATTGAAAAGACAGAGAGCACGGGACCAACTAAATGCAGAACTAAAAGATCTCATTAGTAAGGTAAGCTAGAAGTAATTAATAAAATATAAATGATACAAAATTCAAATTAGCTGAAATGACATAATTAATCTCATTAATTATTTTAATATTCATATTTCACAGACTATTAATTACATACAAACTGCTAGGGATCCCAATGATTTGGTACGCATAGATTTGGTTAATAATGAAGATAACGTCGACTTTAGAATTAAAAAGGTAAACAAAAAATAACTAAAGTTTAGCTATTATATGGTATCTTTATTTTTAGTAATTATATTTTATCTGGCGCCCAAGGTTAAATAATTTTTTCACAAACAAGTACATATGTTTTATTAAAAAAAAAGGAAAAAGAAAAAGTGTGATTTGTTACAAGCTACTTGATATTCCCACAAGAAATGTACTAGCCAGGAAACTTGTTTATCTTTCAAGTTTCAAATAAATAATTGAATTAAATAGAGTATGCATTATGGATGAAGATTAATTTGATTCCTGATTATATTAGTAACATTTCAAAAAAAAAAAAAAAAAAATCGGAGCCCAAATAAAGCTTTATATGATGACTATTTTTGCATAATATTTTAGCCAGTCGGTTCAATTTTTTGTTGTTTACAACAAGAAACCTTGCAGTTGCAGTGGCAGAGGCAGTATAATGTGATCACATTACATCGGTGTGAATAACTTTGTTAAAACAGAAATATACAACTAAATTAAAAACAATTTTAAGACATTAGGAACTATTAAGTTTGAAAAATGATGAAATAATAACAAGGAAGCATTTTATAATGCTAACAATTTTAATCAACAAACAAAGCATTTGATTCCTACCACTTCTTAAATATTAACGGGTCTGATGACAAACTCTCCTTTAGCAGGTGTTATAATTTAATGCAGATAAATAATTTAATTAGTGACAGAAAAATAGAATTTGCATATCTAGTTCAATAAATTGAATCACTAGTGGGCAGGTCTTCAAAGGATGACAATTCCTGGTATGAGAGATCTTCACAAATCAAAAAATATTATTTGATTCCTAAACACCATTTGCCAAAGCAGTTCCTAACTTAATGATTCATAAATTTACCTGAACTAAAAAAGAAAACAAAAAAAGCTTTCTTTAGAACTAATAATGGTTAACATGAATATGCTATTTAGCCTTTACAAGATTTTTGGACCAATATAAATAATTGTTCTTAATTTATTTATTTTTACTTTACTTCACCATAATTTAGATGGCACAAGTTGCAGTAGAGCATGTGCTTCAAGAAAGATCAATTCAGAAACTAGCAGACGACTTCTTGAAAAATATAAGAGACGAAACACGTGGCTCTTGAACTTATTGTTTTGTCCACTTAATATAAACTTTTTAATAAAGTATCTGATTAGTCAAACCTGCTATTAGTTATTTATCTGTTTTTTATTTTAAAATAATTATACATAAAAATATAATAAACACTTTAAGGTGTACTTTTAGCTGATACAGTACTAAAAAATAAATTATTTAAACTTTAATTTTGCAATTTAGTTACAGATATCTAATAGGGTTCAATAGGTCAAGTTCACAAGTTACTATTATGCATTAGGAATTGATGACTTCGCCACAGAACTCTTTAAAAAAGAAAGTGGAAATTTAGTTAAAGTCTTACAAAGCCTATTTGTATCTGTGTGGATATCAGAAATAATGTCAAGTTCTTGGAAATGTTGATACTGTGTCAAATCCACAAGAAAGGGGATGTACTTGAATATAAAAATGACTGAAGTATATCGCTGTTGCGCATGAATGAAGTTTATTGGCATTTGAGAGAAGAATTCTGCGCCACAGTATAAAACATTTTATGAACGCGACTTCTGCCATATGTGGAAAGCTTACTGGGAAAATATCAGTGCGGATTCTGAAAAGATAGATCAACAGTTGATCAGATATTTTCTCTCCGTATTATACTGGAACAAAGTAGAGAGTATTGCATCCATACCCATCACCTGTTTGTGTATTTCAAAGCTACTTATTATAATGTACTATGGGAACTTCTTTATCAAGCGATGAGGGAACTATGCATCCCAGATAAACTTATTCGATTGGTTAAATTAACCATGGCAGATTCGATGCATGTAGGTGTGTGTACAGGGTGAATTATCAGAGATGAGCTTTGCAATAAATAGTGTGAGACAGGGAGATGCGCTGGGTTGTCTGCTCTTCAACATTGCATTAGAGAAAGCGGTGCGAGATGTATGGATTCAAATAACAGGCACAGTGTTTAATAGAATGTTTCAGATCCTTGGTTCTGCGGGTGATCTAGATATCATCGGTCGATCCAAGGCTGGACTTCGTGAGACCTTCCTTGCTCTAGAGGCAACATCAGGACAACTGGGAATACGTTTAAATAATAAGAAAACTATATAAGGTCATAAAGTATATGACCTCCGAGTTTATGGGTGACTACAAATTATCTTGGCAGATAATGTGCAGTTTGGCTCCTATAAGTTTGGCAAAGTGGATGAGTTTATCTACCTGGGATCCCTGATAACTGCAGGAAATGATATCATCATCATCATCATCATCATAGTCATATTCCTCTTTACCGCCTATGCAGTGTGAGGTTGCTTCTTGTAGAGCTTGGACCAGGTGGACCTTTCCAGTACCAGCTCTCGTCTCCTGTTCCATTCCAAACCTCGCTTCTGGAATGCATCTCACACGCTTTCTTCCCAGGAGATTCTCATATGTCTGTTCCGGTCCATACGGAGAAGGTGTCCAAACCATCTCAACTTGTGTTCTTCTATAATGGTTTCGACTGCTTTGGCGTCAAGATTGGTGCGGATTGTAGTGTTGAGAATTCTGTGTCGTCTAGTCTTTTCCTCCACTTTTCGCAGGTAACGCATCTCTAGAGCCTGGATTTGGCTCCTGTGTTTTTACAGGAAATGATATCACAAAGCAAATGGAGAGGGAAAAAGTCATTGCTAACCGATGCTACTTTGGGCTAGGAAGATATTTAAGGAGCAAGTATCTCTTAAGAAAAACAAAACTATGGCTGTATAAGACACTGATCAGGCCGGTCCTGAAGTATGGCTCGTCATAGGCAATAGCACGGATGGATGAGCGAAGTTTATTGGCATTTGAGAGAAGAATTCTGCGCCACATTTATGGTCCTAGAAGAGTCAGTCAACCATACCGCAGGAGGGGTAATCAAGAAATATATAACCTCCTTGGTGAACCTGACAGTATGAAGCATACGAGGTTGGGATGATTAAGATGGGATGGCCATGTAGCACGAATATCAGGGGATGAGATCCCTATGAAAATAATGAGTAAGGCCATTCATAATACCAGGCACAGAGGAATATCGCGTCATAGATGTATGGATGGGGTAGCAGAAGATGCCCGGACGATCCTGGGGGTCAGGGACTGGATCACTGCTGCCCAACAGCGTGCAGATTGGCGGAAGTTATTAGAGGATGCCAGGAATCAATAATGGTCTGTCGAGCCAATGGAAGAAGACAGCCTGAGCACGGATGTTCTCATTTAGCTGCTCAATGAACAACTGTTTGGTATGTGGCTCCTATAGCTTTCTAAGATTATAATTCTTAGGTCTTTCAGCCGGGGGCATCCAGACCTTTTGAAGAAGATCTTATGGGCAACACACAAAAAGTGGCTCGAATCCACTTTGGTATCTCTTCCTAGGGTGCCAGTAGGAGCCCAAGCTTCATAACTGTATATCAGAATAAATATTCATAGCCATTACATGTCAATGCAGTAGACTATATATCACTTCTAATTTAAATTAATAGAATTATCCTAATGTGATTTTAGGTAAAATCTTTTCATGGGATGTGACAGAAACTAATCTTTCAAGGCTGTAGAAAATATCGGTACTAGTTCACAAGAGTTCCGCACGGATTACGCATGGTTCATAATCACTTCGGTCACACTTGTTCCTGGAATCCTGAATCTCCGAAAGAGAACAAAGATGACCGATTTCTTGGGCCAGTTACTATTAACTTTCCCGACATTTAAGTACTTTTATAACCTTAACCATGTTCAGTTATATAGCAGGAGCAGATTTACATTCGAAATTTAGGCTTCGCATCATGAAACCTGAATTGAACCTGTACATATATTATAGATCTGTAAAAAAAGAAATAGTAATAGACAAAAATCTTTAATTATTACATCTCTGAATGCTATTTCACGATATTATTTTTCTTATTGATGATTTTCATTATTCATTATCTTGGAATTATCAGTATATTCATAAATCTTTAATCTGACATTATTTTCATAAAATGCGTCAACTTAATAGTGGACTCTTATTTCTTAGAAATCCAAAATCTACAAAAAATCGACGAACAATTTTAAATCCGACAGTATATTCATAAAAAGCTCCGGCGACTAGAAAATAGTGGATCCATATATCTAAGAATTCAAAAAAGTAACATAAACTTGATGCTTAATCTCAAATCAGACATGCATACAAAGCGCTCCCCCCCTCCACTAGAAAATAGTGGATGCTCGTATTATTAGATATCCAAAAAATTACATAAACTAGGTAGATGACATAAACTAAAAAAGGCTTGATAACATAAATTATAAATGCAATTATTCCAACTTCTATTGAAAAACTCGAATAACAAATAAAAAGATTACTTCAAATTATTTATTATCCAAATGATAAAAAAATCGTTTATACACAGTTATAAATATACAGTATATGCGTATTTACAGCCACTACATGTAAGCACGTGTCAATGAAAATGTTATTTCTAAAAGCATTTTTTTTAACAGGCCTTTGAAGAAACGACTCAAACATTATTTTATGTATTTTTTTCTTTTTCTTTCACAGTGATAACCGTTATAATAAAAATTAATAATTGAATAATTACTAAATACACAATTCGTTAATAAATTGTTAGTAATGAAGTTCCATGAAGGGAATACGTTGGTTTTTTTTTTTTTTCAAAAATGCATGAAAAGGGGTTGTGTGATGGGGCAATAGCTGACGTCATAAAATACGACAACATTCAGCTAATTTCGGGATTCCATGAACAAGTGTGATCGAAATGATTGTGAACCACGCGTAATCCGTGCGGAACTCTTGTGAACTAGTACCAAAATATCTTATCGTTTATACTCCTGCTAATTAAAATAATAATAATAAAATGGGAAATTTACAAAAACATGTTCAGTTCTGTAGTCAACATCATCTCAAAACTAAATTTGTTGCCATAAAAGCACTTAAATATTATTTTTAAAACAATTATTTGTTTATGAAAATTTAACAATACTCCAGATTATTGGCACTAAGCTGCAATTATGGACCCGGAAGAATTACCAATTTGTTTTAAAAATTTAATAAATGCTTTTTCCTTATGGATACTAAAGACCAATAATAAAAAAAAAAGTAATTATTACTCACTTCAAAACTGGCTCAGGTGTGAGAATAGAACAATCTACTTCTAACATGTTATCCTCCAAAACAAAAAAGTTCCTCCACAAATGAAGCATGTTTGCTTTTAAGGCACATCCCATAGGCCCATAATCGAACTGACCAGTTATACCTAACAATAAATTTTTGATTAATAGGATTAGAATAACATCTATATTCAATAAATCTATTATATAAAATACATAACATGGAGCATAACAAACTGAAGCAAGTTACATATAAAATGATTAAAATAAGAGAAAAATTCAAATGACCATATAAACGTAACCTTAAAAATATACAATTTTTTTTTCAAATAAAAAATGTATATTCAAGCATACTGTTAAAGATAATACCTCCATAAATCGCAAATGACTGGTCATAAAAAAATCTTCTTTTTAAAAGGTCTTCCATCAAAGCCCTATCAAATGTAGCTGGAGCCAAAGCTAACTCCTTATCTTCCAAAATTTTTTTTCTAGTTTTTAACTCAGCGACTGCTTTTTTAATGTCTAATTCTGGTGCTCCATCTGCTTTTAAAGATCTAACCAAGTCACCCTAAACCAAAACATATTGCAGTTGATTAAATTTCAAACTAAATAAATAAGAACTTGATAAATAAGTAGGAAAAGACCTGCTCCTTGACAGAAGCCCTCAGTGGAGCAAGAATTTCTTCAGTTTTAGAATCACCCATTTTATTAAAATAAAGAGGAAGTTTAACTTTCCTGTGCTGCTTCTTAGTTCCCCAACTACTCTTCCTTTCACTGATTAACAAAGGTACCAACCTCAGAAGTGAATCTTTACTTTCTCTTATTAAACTGACCTTCCATAAGCAGTTTAACAACAGAGACATGAATCATGTAACTGCCAAGTGTAAATGTAATTTCTGTCACGTCAAACAGTTTACCACACTACAGAAAGAAGGTTATAAATTCAAGGGTTGTAAATATAAAGGTTAGGAAATATAAAGATGGTGTAATTAACAATTTTATAAAAAGAAAAATTAATTTCGGAAAGAAAAATTGGATTTGTTATCAGCTTTCAAAGAAACAACTTCAGCACGTGATAATTGGAAGGTTACAATTTTAATTACCTTCCTGGAAGGTACCTTTCGTACAGAGGATTGGATTTGTTGCTGTAGTCAAATTTTGTATTATACAAATTAATAAGTTAATTGTATCTAATTTCAGTTGATAAGCAGTAGGAGGATTAGTTTTGTTATTTAAATTTGTCAAGATTTTGAAGTGGTGGGTGGTAGGGACGTCTATGTAAATTATATTTCATATAACCAGAACTATGAGGATTTGGAAAAATTTAAGAATTTTAAGTCATGGTGTGTTTGGTTTACGAAATTATAACAGAAAGATACTTCAAGATGAACTAGCTGTATGTAACTATTGTAAAGATGCAGGTAAATTTATTTTACAATTTAACACTAAATTATTTTTTAAATTTCCTTTGCAAACTGAAACTTATTTTTAGGTTCTCTGAATCAAGAAACCGTCCCTCTGTTTTTCAATGAAAATGTACAAGAATTATTAAAGAAAATAGTGAAAATTGATTATGATAAAGTCTTTAGAACAAAGAAATTGGAAAGGCGCCTAGCTACCCCTGAATTCACATTTATGACTGATGCAGAACTTGAAGAGGTAAGTTTGTGCTGAAATTTCCCTTTTTTTTAAATAATTGGAAAAAGTAATTAGGTTTGATAAGGGTACTGATAATGTTTTGAAAGGTTATTATCATGAGTTGTGCAAGGTTTCTCTTAAGGAATCTGATTAAAACTCATTTGTTGGTCTGAATTGTTGCAAACTCCAGCCTTAGGAGGATGTCATAAGCTATGTTTTCCTCAGGCTAACGACCATGATTATCCTCTATTGATGATTTTGTTACCAGAAATATAAAGTACTATTACATTGCATTTGGACTGTTTATGGGATTGGAATATTATTTTTGTTGAGGATCTGTTTCCCCGAGTATCCTATTATCATACACTTGGAGAAAACAGTTCGTATGAAATCCATTGATAGTGTTTTACATTATTATCATTATATGATGATCATAATTCCCGTAGGGACTAGTCGAAGTGCCAGACTAGTGGGGAATAACGTTCTTTGGGCTCCTGAGTTCAGTACATGGTACTCTCATAACAGAACAGTACACTTTACACTTATTCATACACAAGGTCATATTCAGTACTCACCTCAGGGCCACCTTCCCTGGGAAGACCCAAGGTTGGGGGTATAGCCTAACCACCAGTTATCCTGAGGATACAGGGCCTCTAGCACTGGGCCAATCACCCGTCTGGAGCACAGCAGATTCAGAGATCTATCTAGCCTCGGATGTGGACAGTCTTCACGGAAACGACTCGGCACACTTATGGATATTCAAATGCGAACGTGGAACATTAAAACTAACTGGAAAGGAGGTTGAGCTATTGAAAGAGATAAAGAAATACTAAATAGAAATTCTGGGCATAAGTGAAGTTAAGAAGAAAGGCAGTGGTGAAATGAACTTTGCCGGAAATTACTCCTGATTTTATGCTGGAGTTCCTAGAGGGATTTTCGCCAAGGAAGGAGTAGGCCTAGTAATGTCACCCAATATGTTTGATCGTTTGGTGGACTGGGAACCAATATGTCCCCGATTGATCGTGGCAGATTTTAAGATGTCCATTTTTAGGATTTCCATAGTCCAGGTATATGCATCAACCAGTGTTATGGAAAAGGAGGCATACTGCTTGGATTTACAAAACATTGTAGATAAAGCTAAGGAAAAAGGAAGATCTGTAATCTGGAGTAGGGATTTTAATGCCAGAAGAGGAAGTGATGTTAGATCAGGATATGGCGTTCTAGGGCTGCATGGAGGTGAAAATGTAAAAAATAACAATGGACAGCAGCTAATAAACTTTTGTGTTGATAATGACCTCCTCATAGGGAGTTCATTCTACCCACACAAAAAAATTCATAAAATATACTTTCATAAAAAAAGCATACTTTCTCATGCTTGGAGCGAAGTAGTATAATTGACTATTTTATATTTGACCTGCTCTTTAGACTATATTTCACTGATGTCAAGATTGTGAGAGGAGCAGAGACAGGAAGTGACCACCTTCTACTTATGGCTGATACAAAGATAATTATGGATAGTTAAAGAAAAGCGAAGATATTTAAGATCCTGAATATTAGGGCCTTGGATGATCCAGAAAAGAGGTTCCTCTATACAGAGAACTTCAAAGACAAATTAAGAGCAATACTGTACAAACTATCTGGAAGACATTAAAGTCATGTATTCTGGAGGTTGTAAATGTAGTTTGTGGGAAGAGGAAGGTATCTGGTAGGGGGAAGCGGTCTGACTGGTGGACCGAAGACCTTCAATGATTAGTTTCTCTGAAAAAGCTTGCCTGATAGATAATGAGATTTCGTAGAATATTCAAGGCGAATCAAGTATACTACCAGATCGCTAGCATTATCCTCAGCTGCCGTGAAGTGGATAAAAAGACCAAGATGCACGTCTATAAGTCAGTGTAACTGCCTATTCTCACCTATGGCGGAGAAAGCTGGACTATGTTGGACACACGTTACAGTCACATAACAGCATCGGAAATGCAGTTCCTAGATAGATTGGTGGGAAAAACTAGGAGGGATCTCATTAGAAACGAATCTATCAGAGAACAGCTGGAAGTACCTGAACTCAAAACCACTTTGGAGGACAGGCAACAAAAATTGGTTTAGACATGTCTGCCGCATAAACGAGGACATGGACCATATAAAGATATTAGAGGCTTGACCAACAAGGAAGATACTGCGAGGTCATCCCAGAGTTTCATACCAGGAGTTCGTGCAGAGGAAAGGAAGTAGAAGAGGCTAATCCTTCAACCAAATGAAGCAGTTAAGCAGAGACCAGGACGGGTGGCTGCGCTGGATAGAGGCTCCTCAATGCTAGAAATGGCATTGTGAGGAAGACAAAAAAGAAGATGATCATAATAGTCACATCGTGGAAGACATATATAGTTTTTTAGTTTTTTATAATACTTCACAGATGTTACTTCAATTTAATGGATGGGCATAATATCACAATTTCTTAAACTACCTTATTTGTCTAAATGTAAACAGAGGCAACCTATACCCTGAGGTAAAGCCCCGACTTCAACTGAAATGGCTATATACATAGAAGATTTGTTTATCTCTTTTGAGTTAACAGATCTCAAAAGTTGCAATCTAATTAAAGCAAGTTAAATAAGACCTTGATATCAACTGAAAAAGACCAATTGTAGTTTTGTTGATCTCTTTTTAGTTAACAGAAGTCGATAGTTGCAATCTAAATTAAGAGATTTTACAACCATGAAAATGATTGTCCATATTCGATCATTTACAGAATTCCAGTGTTTCTGTGTCCAGCTATCATGTTTGAGTAGCGCTAGTGAAATGTTTTTTTTATTCAATAAAAGTGAAAGATCATAAAACTTCCATTATGTTCTTATTTATTCATTAAAAATGATCTATCGAGTCACACTCTATGTTTCAGGGCACTATTTATTTATTTTACAACTAATAAGCTAAAATTCATAGATATGGATTAGTTTTGTCAGTTTGAAAGTAAATCTTACAACAGCCATGTTTCAATAGTTATTAGCTAAAATGTAATTATAAAATTGTTATACATTATTGTGATCATGTTTAGAAAAATTGTAGTTCTGAAGTGAATTAGTACCTAGAAGAAATGTAAACTGTGACTAGATGAATTGTAACAAATAAATAAAATATAATGGAAGTTTTTTGCCTTTGTTTTCTCCAAACATAATGTAAAAGATTTAGTTGACTTAATTTATTTTACAAATTTATTTATAAGATGACAAGTCTTGAGGATGTTAATTCGTTCAACATAACTAATGAAACTATGACGTTAATATAGCTATGTTTTAATTTTAATATTTTTATGGCTGTATGATTTATAAATTTATATATGTATTATAAAACAAAAATGTGCTTTCTCCGCTAATAATGGTATATGTTTAGGCTAAAAAAAAGGCAGAATACAAAGCTCTAAGGAAATTACAGATGCCACCTATTCTTCCTCCTCGTAAACAAATAAATCATGTCTATGTTGTTGACAAAAAACTGGAAGGATATTCTACTGCCAAGTATCTTTTCACAGATATTAGTTTTGGAAAAAATGATCGTGTAAGGCAATTAATAATATAATTTTTATTTAATCAACAAATAAATTACTAGCTAGATTGAAATGTTTTAACATAATTTACAGAAGAGACATATAGTTTTAAGAGATGTAGATGGGACACTAAGGAAAGCTACTTGGGAAGAAAGAGAAAAGGCTAATCAAATTTATTTTCCTAGACATGGAAGAAAACTGAGAATACCAAAGATGTTTCAGGCTGAGTACTTTGAAGTAAATAAGCTCTTTGCTAATTGTATTTATCTAGTTATTTAACTAAAATTAATTGATTTTTAAATTTATTATCTGTAAATATTTTGGTTCTTACTTACACTAAAATAGCTTACTTGCCTATTACACCAGGGTGCAGGTAAGAATTATAATTTAAAATTATTACTAAAAAATTTTAAATTAATAAAACAATAATGTATAAATTGTTGAGAATCTACACTACACTCCGGCTCTCAGGAGTGTTGAATGAGATATCAAACAAAGGAAATTTCATGGAGAAGTGACAGTAATAAAAATCACTGTAAAAGTTGGAAGTTTTAAACTGAGATGGTTTCAAAAATAGACTGTTCGAAGCGGGATATGATTTGGTCGCAATGAGATAATTATAACTTGTTTAGGTTTTTAAAAATTAAAATATTGCTGTTTATGATAGTCTTCGATGAACTAAAAATCGATTGAAAAGGCAGACTTCTATTCTCTTAATAAGTGAGAGAATTTCTAACTAACTAAGTCTCTTCTGTACACCAAACAAGTAGTTCTTAAGCGATACAATAATGGATTAGTATAAGTTTGGGGATGGCTGTGTCTCCTTGCTTAACTATTAAACTGGAGGGAGCTAATTATTTACCAAGTAGTAGCCATGGTTAAAGTATGAAGTTTCACCAATTGTTTGTATTGAATAGACTATTTTGATAATATTATATTGTATATAGGAATAAACATATTTTGATTTGTCGCCTATTATGTCAAATCCTTTAGGGAGAAGGATTGCTACCTAACATGAATTCTCACTGTGGTGTATATTAGTTCCTTTATTACTAAATTATAAAACTAGTAACTCAACAATTTCAGCCTCTAAAATATCACGAGGCAATGAATGACAAACATAAACACTTTATATATGTATATGTTAGCAAGTGTTGGGCCTTGTTTATTTAAATGACAAATACCTAATAAGTTTTTATCTGCTATTCAATGGCTGTTTGCTATTGACTTATTCATTATTTGAAATAATCATCTCATTCAAATAAAAAAAAAAAATAAAAACCATAAATACCACAGTTTACAAAAATTTGATTGATTTTTCAAAGTTAAAACCTCTCAAAAGATAAAAAGTTGGGACATTTTCATATTCGTATTTCTTTTAGCCAAGTTTGGTTCGAATTCTTATTTGACAAACATGAATAATGAATACTATCCAATTATTAGAATTGTATTTGAAAAACTCGAATAATGAACAAAAAAGGTAAGAGATAACATCATTTGTTATTCAAGATAGCAATTAAAAAATTGATTCTTTATTTGTTAATTGAACACTAGCAATGGTTAGCAGTTTATTGTTGATGGATATAATGAAGTAAGATAAAAAAAAATACAAATGACAGGGTCCTGACTAAATTTATATAAACTGGTCTTTATTTATTATCATTTAACATAATTACAATATTTAACATTTTAAATACTGTAATCTATAATATTGAAGGTCTTATAAAAAAAAGGTGTATGCTTTTGTGATATCTAAGTTTGTATGATATGGGAACAAAATTTAAAATTTATTTTTAAAAAGCAAATTTTCTCTTCCATCTCTTGACTTTTCTAGTTTGAAAAAGTTACCGGATTTTCCCATGTCTGTTTGATACCTAGTATTATTATCAGCCTAATGTTATTATTATATTTTTGTGATAATACTTCAGAATACTGGCTTGTTAGACAGCTTTTGCTAAAAGAAATAATGTTCACTAGTGTAATGAAGAAGAGAACATGGCTTTGAACCTCTGTATTATGCTGCTATACTTAGCCACTACAATAGTTACCAGCTTTCTGTTGTAAGAGTACTGGTGTGTTTTTCCTGAAGCCATAATAATAATAATAACAACAACGATCTATAACAATCTTGGGAAGTATTCGTGCACACTTAACTGCTTTATTGTTAGTTGTTTTTGCAATAGTTGATGTTCCTCATAATAATGAATTCTATATAAGTTTTTAATTTATTTTGATTTTTTTTAGCAAGCCCAATTTTCTTATTTAATAAAAAAATAGGTATTATAAATTTTTACTAAATCCATGGTTTATTCCCAGGAAGTTCTTTCTAAACAATGGTATGAGTTTATCCTTGATCGAGCTTGCATTCAATTTGAGCCAGATGATCCTCTTTATATTCATATAACACAAACTACTTATGATAAAACAGCTGAAACTGGAAATTTCAAAGAGTTGGAATCTACTAGACATTACGGACCCTTGATTTATCACTTGACTGAAAAAGAGAATCTGTCGTCTCTGTTTATTTATTATCTAAATTCAGACAGGTTTGTAAGATTTTTCTTAATCACTAACTGTTCCTACTTTCCTAGAAATCATAATCTACTTATATTTCAGGTTGGATGATGTTGTGGATGTTATTAAACTTCATGCAATAATTCATCCTGATAAAATTTGTTCTGTAGAGTACAAAGCTGGTGAAGAATTCACTCTGGTTAAGGTATTTTCTTCCACATCCTTTTTATTTCTTAAATATTTTATTAGATAAAAAACACATCCAACCAATATCTGATGTTAACTGTGGTGTGTTTGTGTAAATTAGAAATTTTTGGGTTTTAATTAAGAAATTAATGCTTTTTATTTAAGGAATAAGTTAAAAACTTGTTTCCTCCCCTAGAATTAGCTATTAAATTCAAATTTATTTTTAGTAAAATGAGCAATAATTTTTTATATATGAAAAAGGATAAACATTTTAAATTTTCATCTAAATAAATATAACACAGACTCATGAAAATAGTTGCTCACTTGCCTTACAAAAACATATTAAAAATTATCCTCACCTATATTACAAATGCTATCGCATACAAATACTTGTAGAATAGATGCAATCTATATCAAAGAGAAGTTGGTTGGGATGTTCAGTGACAAGAAAGTAAAAATAAATAAATATAATTTGCGAATTAATAATTTTGTTTTTCTATTTTATTTAATGAAAAGTCATTATGCCTTTTTGTAGCCACATGCATGTTTCATTTTAAGGTGTGTATCACTTAATTTTTCACTTTCGTATATATGTAATATATAGTAAGGTTAAGTATTGTGATCGTGGACATTTTTGACTCTGAGTTTTCAACAGATATACAAGTTTTGAGGTCCCCTGAGTCCAAATAACCAAGTCCCACAAAATGGTCTGTGTGGGTATGTTAACAGTCTAACCATAAGTGACACTTTATATAATGGACTAAAAACATTTTTACAATTATCTCAAAAACAGCTGTAACGATTTTGATTAAATTCAACATATTAGTGTAAAATTAAGCAGTTTTAAATAAAATGTGGTTATTGTTCTCTAAGAGGGCTGAAATGGCTAATTTTCAATATTAGCTTCCTCTAAAGTACGTTTAATTTTTTTTATTTGAAAGAATTTTATAATTAACTAAACGAGAAATAAGAGTTCGTAACGGAGAATAGTTGTAATTGAGGAACCAAAGGAATACAAGCTTGCCCGAGCTCACCCGAAACATTACAACAAGCTTCCATACATAACATGAGCTTAATATAATACGGACTCCGACAATATTATGAACATATACATATATGGTTTTCATAAATGCTGTCGTTTGTATTATTTAATACCATGGAGAAAAGAAAAACAAAAAAAAAATCCAAAATAACTGATATGAAAACAGATGAACAATTCTGAAAAAGTAAATTTTCTTTATCTTTTTTTTTTTAGGTTTAAAAATCATTTTTTAAAATGTTTAGTTCTCTTGGTTATCGTAACATCAATTCTCTGTCCTTATTGAAAATTTAATTTTAAGTTTATGAACTCTATATTAATTCATGTTAAACTTGTTTTAGGCCTTCATTACTGAATTCTACTCTCAGAAGTCTGATTTGATGTTAACTCTTAAGTCTTATGAAGATTACATCACTAAACCTAAATCGCAAGCTGTGGTCTAAATCTTTTACTAAACTAAGTTTGTGTAGTTTTGTTATAGATTTTTACTAAAAAAGAAACATGTATATATTTTGTAAATAAATAATTGTTTATAGCGATAATTGCCATTACTAGAAATCTGTGGAACTTATTAAATTGATGTATTGAGAATGGAAGAGATAAAACAATAGAATTAATATTCAAGGCACAATATGACCTATAGACGTCTTTTGTTTATACCATGCAGTATTCAAACACTCAAACTTTGTCATTCAGGCGTAACATAGTGATGTACTTCAGTTACATATTTTGACATATGGTAATACTGATATTAATCATTCTTATAATTAAGAAATTGCATTAATAACAAGTGGATTTTAGTTTAATATAAAATAAACAAAAAAACAATATACTTTATTTACTTTAATACATATAAATACATGGTGATTTCATAGCTTTATATAAACTCGTCGAAGGAAACATATATACAAGATGAAAGAAAATGACAGTCTATTTACACAAGAGTATATTCATTGAGCCATAATCATTTTCTCTTCAGTCGAGAGCAAATCCATTCCAGCCCTTGGTATAAACTGTAAAGAAATACAAACAGTTTACAATTAATTATCATAAATAGTCAACTTGACAATTTATAAAAGAAGCAATTAGTTTCAAAACTAACTCGATCCATCTTTTTTACAATTTTTCTTCTTGTTTTGCACATTTCTTCGTATAATAGTGCCCAGCGAAGACATATTCATTGAGCACCTCTCAACCCACTATTAAAGCGAAATAAAACTCGGCCTAGTCCTCACTTATGGATCCTAAAGCTTGGAAATGGACACCCAAATAATTGATTCACTTATAGAGAAAATATTGTGAAGAATCTTTGGCATGATTGAGAAAGCTGAAGAACAAATAATCAGAGACAGGGATTCTAATAAGTCAGAAATAGAGATGAGAATTTTGATTATTTTAACTGAATCAATTTGCAATGAATGCATCATTGTAGTGGATCGATTCTTTTTATCTGCTTTAAATTATAAAAGGACTTTATACTAAACAAATAAAATAATAAACATTCTCAAAACTTATAGTTATTAAGGCATAAACATTTTTTTTTTTTTAATGATTGAAATTTAAAGTGTATTATTTCTAATATATACAAATTAAAAGTTATCGATCTTATAAGTAGAAAGGAAGTTTAAATTGAAAAAGAAGAGTTTTTTTTATTTTACATATTAGAGTTTGGTGTGTGTATGTAAATTATATGAAAAATAATTTTATTAGTCTAGAACTAATTTTACAAGGAGACATTCCTTTAAAACAAATTATAAATTCAAAATAAATTTAACATGACAGAGTAGCCACACATTAAATCAAATATTTACAAAATAATAGGTAATTAAAAATAAAATTACAAGAGGAAATAAATAAACCAAATAGTAAGGTAATTAAGCATAGGTTATAAATGTCCGAAGAGAAAGAGTAGATCCAGCAATCCATGGAATACGACTGGAAGTTTCCTAGAACAAATCCAGTGAGTATCAGTAAAAAACGGAAGAAGTATGAGAGAGCGTGCTAGATTCTCAGTGAATCACTTCAGAGTACGATTCTTTCAGTGGAATCGACTCTTTGATTTTATTCTCGATTTACCTGCTCATCTTCACCAATTTGGATTCCGCACTTCCCATTCTACTATACAGCAATGTCATCGTGTGGTAGACGTAGTCTCCTCTGCATTGGAGCGCGGAATGTACTGTACGGGAGTCTTTCTCGACGTTGAACAGGCGTTTGATAGAGTTTGGCATCCAGGACTACTGTACAAACTCCGAAAATTCCTACCACCTACATACTTCCTCATTATCCGTTCCTACCTTACTGATAGATACTTTAAAGTAAATCACAAAAACGCCTATTCATCCCTTTTTTCCCAGTCCGCTGGTGTTCCTCAAGGTAGTATCCTAGGTCCTATCCTCTATACAGTTTATACAGCTGACATTCCTACCTATCCCAACACTGTCATCACCACATATGCAGATGACACATGTATCCTATCAGTAAATAATGACCCAGCAATTGCATCCCAAATGCTTCAATCACACATCATAAATCTAGAAGAATGGTGTCAAAACTGGAGAATTAAAATAAACTCCAATAAATCCCACCAAATTACCTTTACCCTTTGTCGTAAACCAACAACTTCCTGTCCTACAGTCTCCTTTAACAATACTCCACTTATCCCTATTGAGCAAATCCGATACCTAGGACTCCACCTGGACAAACGACTAACTTGGAATCCTCATACTAGACTGAAACGACAAGAAACCGCTCGACGTTTCCGATTACTTCGGCACTTACTAGACAAACGTTCTAATCTTCCAAATAATTACAAAAGACTCATATACTTGACTATAATAAGGCCTATTTGGACTTACGGAGTTGAGCTATGGGGCTCCACTAAACCATCGAATTCCTCTCGTATCCAATCCTTACAATCCAAAATCCTTCGTAAAATCCTCAATGCTCCCTACTTTGTTACAAATAAAACCATCCATAATGACCTTAATGTTCCTTATGTTTCAGATCTGGCCCAATCCAGATACCTATCCTTCCATAATAAACTTCAGAATCATCCCAACCCTCTCGTTTCTAACCTTGCTTCCTCTTCAATTCCTGATAACCCTCCGAGGCGTCTGAAAAGAAGATGGCCCCGTGATCTCCTGATGTAAACATATCATTAGAGTGCTACCATTGGGTAGTTACTTAGCAAGTGTTTTCATGTCATTATATACATTATGTTCTAATTTACTAGATGTATTTATTTAATACAGTTGTAAATGTCTTTAAGAAATAAAAAAGGAAAAAAAAAAAAAAAAAAAAAAAACCTGCTCATCTCTAGTCAGAAGGCTCAGATGGACATGACATATTGTAAAAATGTATAGCAGAGAAATCCTGTGTAAATTGGATGAGGAGGTTCTTCAAGTAGTTTGGGAAGAGCCAATGGCCTGTCAGAATAGTTGCAAGAAACATTCTGAATAAACCTGATTGGATGGCTGATGCACAAGATTAATATAAGAAAAAAATATCCAAATCAACAAAGTAAGCAACAAAATTTGTAATAGGTAGGTACAATAATTTATAAATTAATTTTTAAATTTAGTTCAGAAAATAATGAATAATGTGGATTTTGGTGTTTTCAAATAAAATTACTCATAAGTTTGAAAATATTGGCTCTATTGCCATAGGAGTTTCATTTAATTCAGAAACAAAATAGCTATAACAATCGATACCTTAATTGATTTATCTTAAGCAAATTATTTTTCAAATATATTCCCTGAAATTCAGGTGGACTCAGTTAATCTTGATTCCTATCTCTAAAAAAAAACTAATGACCAGAGTTTCATGAAGATAAAAATTGTGGTTTTTATTTCATTCGTCTTTCTTATAATAGATTGAGAAGAATGGTGGAGGCTTTTGTAGGAGGCCTTGACCTTCAGTGTTGGATCATTGCAACATATACATGGATACTTTATTCTATTCAAGCACAGACAAGAATATAATAGGAATAAAAAAATTAAACTTAAAATTCTCCATTAGTTAAGCAGTCAACAGAAAATTTTATTTAAAGCAAAGAACCTCATGGTAACAAAGATTATACTCCAACTGAACTTAGTAACATTTAGAATAAAATAGTTAATTCCTACGTGCAGCTGTTGAACTAGAAATATTTATATAATGCAGGATGCTTACCCTTCTCCAGATAATGCACAACAAGCCTGTATATGCCACTGGTGTTTTTTAATACTAGTAAGGTCAAGTTGTCTGCTTATCTCAGCAGCTGACATAGCGCCCTGAAAATAATAACCAAAATCTCTTGAGTCATTAAAAATAAATAAATAAAATTAAAATCTGCAAGATAAGTACAATAGCTCAGTAACCTTGTTCATCGTAAGTTGTATTGAATGGGAGTAGAAGGTTTCTTTATATTTTCTGGTACGGGATGTGACTACGATGCAAAATCCAAGTTTTCGTCCTCGGGGTCCCCCTGGACCACTTTTGAAAATTCAGAAAAATGGTAATTTTTCGTACTTTTTTTCCCCAATTATAACCATGAAGGAGCACGTTTTTGACAAAAAAACACTATATAAATTTTTAAACTAGATTAAATATGCTACAAATTAAGACCATAACAGGCTCGGTAAATCAAACAGTTTTTGAGATACAGATTTTTTATTTATTTTCAAAGTTTAAACCATTTTTTATCATATCCAATTTTCTTTTCTCTTCATATTTTGAAGGAGGGATGATGGAGAGGGGAAGAAAGTTTGATGGGTGAGGATAAGCCGTTTTCCAAACCCCCTACCGTGCACCTCCCACTCACACTCCTATAAAATTTATATTCTGTGTTCCTTATAACTATTTATTAAAAAAAAAAAACCAATGGTCCAACAAAAACAAAAGACTGCACTGTCCTAAGATGGCGCCCTAACATGATAGGTCGATTCCTTTGATTTGAGTTTGATGGCAGTTGGCTTAATTTTGTCATAATTGGTGTTTTATTAAAGCTGGGTCAGAATATAATAAAACATTAAACAAATTAAAAAACTAATTGGCTTTAGCAATAAAAAATACCAGCAAAATCAATTCCTTCAAGTCGTTCAAATTAATGCTGAAAATCAAGCATCATTGGTAATTAAACAGCCAACAATAACGCAAAATACCTTGAAATAAAACATCTTGAAAATACATTCATATTTCTAAACCACTCATTAATTTTTAACATATTTGCAAGGGTTCTTTAGAAAATGTACTTAAATGGCGAAAAAGCGGCACTGGCATAGACGCCTACGAATAAGATCGAACGCAATAAATGACTTAGTTCATTCTAACTCACTTATTTTATCAATTATTTATAGCTCTTATTATTTATAGCTATACTTATATCCATGTATTCTACACCTTCAAAATAATAGCTTAAATAAATGTTTACTTCACTAACTCTTATAAGGCAGGTTATTGAAGACATAAACATGAAATTAGCCAAACATTTCCAAAATTTCATTTTTTTTTTCTGCTGTGCACACACATTAGCCCGTTTGGTCCCCGTCATCCACATTCACTTCATTTACAATTTTGGTATGCACTTGATGTAAATGTTGGTTACATCAATTTTTTATTTCAATTTCAGACATCTGATTGTGAAAAGTGATCTAACCTCTCCCACCAAATCTCACCTCTCCTTCAAAATGTTAAAATAAATAAAAATTAACTTCACTGAATCATATAAGACAGTATTGACGAAATAAAGACAAGTGCATACGATCAAATAGGAAAAATAGCTTAAAATTTTCTAAAATTTGTACCTCGTATAAACTATTTGATTTACTTGAGCCTGTTCTGGTTTTATATTGTAGCATATTTAATCTTGTAAAAAACTGTAAAGAATGTTTTTTTGTCGAAAACTTGCTCCTTCATGGTCAAAAACCAAAAAAAGTGCGAAAATATAGCAGTTTTTAATTACTGCAAAATTAGCAGCAGAGGTCGAAAACTTGCATTTTTGCATCTCAGTCACATCCCATACAAGAAAGGAAAAAAAACTCTCCCATTCAATACAACTTAGAACCCTCTTTTCATCACAAGGTTACTGGGCTACAAATCAAAGAAATAAATATAAATGTACTGATAAAAATACCATAATAAACGAAAATTTGAAATTTACAGAGAAATCATCTAGAGCAATGTGAACGAAATAAGTTGGCAGTTTACCCGAAGTGAATAATGAAAAAAACAGGAGATGCATTTTCAAATAAAACAAAATTGTAACTAATTTACAATAATATCAAATTTGTGAAATTTTAATTTATTATATTAATTTTCAATCCATTTATGAGAAAATTCGATCCAATCCACAAGTAGACTAAACTAATGTAATAATAAAAACAAAAACTTATCATAACTAATAATAATAAACGGTTTTATGAATCTGAAGGTTTGATGGCATCACCACCAATTGCTGTCTATGTACTTCCATTGACTGTTGGCCAAATCCAGTCCCTTTAAAAGTTATTTTGTTAATTAGCTCAACAATTTTACACATTCATTTTATTCACCGCATTGTAATCACCTCAATTATATTAAATAGATACAGATCATACTATAAGGCTTTGTGTAATTGCCTGAATTCTCCGGTCCAAATATTCTATGCAATACTTGAAATTCAATAACTTTAAGACATTGTTTATTAAAGTTTCACATCCATAAAGAAAGAATCATAGGTAGGATAATGATTTTTTGAGTTCTAATTTTTAAGATTTGGAACAGAAGACATGAACTATGTAGTTTTTAAACAGAAGAATAATGAGAAGAATAGTTGGGGTGGTCAGTCAAAAAAGAAGGCAAAAATAAATGATAATATTTATTTTTACATAGGCCGACGTTTCGACCTGAAGTTCAGGCCATCATCAGGGCTAAGAAAAGAACCAGATAACAAGGTATGAGAAATATAAAAAATACAGTACTGTAATTTTTATATTTCTCATACCTTGTTATCTGGTTCTTTTCTTAGCCCTGATGATGGTCTGAACTTCAGGTTGAAACGTCGGCCTATGTAAAAATAAATATTATCATTTATTTTTGCCTTCTTTTTTGACTGAACACACCAACTATTCTTCTCTTCATTATCCACGACAGTCAACCATTTACCAATTATGAAGAATAATGAGCATTTCCTAACTTTAAACGCTCATACACACATAATGCTATATGTTCTGGTGATACGATACCATTTTTCAGTATCGTATCACAGCGGATTATAGTGCTTTGTGTATGCTATAATGCAATAGATAGTAATACAACTATATCACCATATCACCAACGACAGGAATATCATAGGAATATTGCCAAGACATATTGCACTCTGTGTGTTAGGGCCTTTAACCTTATCTTCAATTTAGATTTTTCAAGTTATCTTAGATCTAAATACCTGAACTTCTCAACGTTTTCAAATGTATTCCTGCCCATATCTATATCACCGAGAATAATTTTAGCATAATCAAGCACACATATTCCAAACTTTTTTGGTATTTATTACCTATCTAATGGTATATTCTGATGTTAAATTAAACAGTACAGGTAAAGTGGAATCATCTTATTTAAAACCTGAACGAACTTCTAACTTTCCTAGTAAATAATTACCGATATTAACTTTATTAAATGTTTCTGTCAAGCACATCTTTACTAAATTTACTAACTATTATAACTAAACTAAAATAATAACATATACTTACTTAATGCAACTAGAAGATAAAAAAAAAAAATCAAAATAAATATATCATTGTTTATGGCAAAAAATCACTAAGTACACTTTTGACATACCTGAACTTTTAAGAGTTTTTGTAAATTTTTAACTTATTTTTCGATTTAAAATACACAATAAGTGCACCAATCCTTTAATAAATCCCAGATAGCCACAACGAGTGTACAATGCTTTGAATTCACAAAGGGAAAATCCTTTAAAGTTCTTAATGATTTAAAGACATGAAAAGTCACTCAATGGGCTTTTGCAATAAACCAATGATATGTTCTCTCTCTTTTTTTTTTTTTTTTTTTTTTTTTTTTTTTTGTATAGCCTCTGTTTTTACGAGTATTACACCTGTAGGCCTCCCCAATTAAGAGGGTAATGGTCTAACTTCCCGCGGGGACCAGCCGTATTGGGAAGTAGGGCCGGGATTCGATCCTATGATCTTTGCTTTACTAGTATAGCGCGCTAACCACTCTGCTATACCGGCCCCTATGTTAAGATGTTCTCTTTAGTGAGAAATAATTATATAATAACAAATGAGTGAGTTCAGATTAAAGGACATCTATAATTTTTAGCAAATAGAGAAAAAGTCAAACAAAAATTGTTTTTTTTATAATTTTTCTGAAAATTAGATGTCAGTATATAAATATAAATCACAGAAATGACAAAATTAGACAGATAAAGAAGTATGTTACCTTAACATCCTGTTTATTTGCATACACCAGAACCCCCGCTTTAGAAAGATCTTCGTGACCTAACATCCGATACAGTTCTTCTCTAGTTACAGACAATCTTTCCCTGTCAGTAGAGTCTATCACAAGAATAACAAACTAAAACAAAACAGTACTAGTTAGTGAAACTTATATAAATGTAGATAAATAAATTGTTTATTTATTTTTTTGTTAGAGGTAATTCCTGTACAAATAAATATAAAGATAATAATTATCTTGTCTTTTCTTGATCTTGATGAAGACCTGGAACTTGGGCCGAAACATCGGAAAAATAAAAATAAATATAATTTGTTTATGTTTATTTCCTTGCTTGTGATTGACCAGCCCAACCAACTCCTCTTCAAAATATAAAGATATTTTAAACAATTTTAGATTTTGAATCTAGTAATGAGATTTATTCATAACATTAAATGTTAACAACAATGTTTCGGTACTTCTTAAGGTACTATTTGGCTGGCGCGGTCGACGACAGCGACTGCTATTTCCCCTGCCAACCGCTGTTGGCGTACCTATTTCGCTGAAACTGCTCACTGGGGTTGTTATAACCTGCCTATAACCTTCGAACATTTCGCTGTATCTTTGAAGATAAAAAGATAGACATAATATAAGAATAAAAATGAACTTCCTATAATAATGAACATCTCTAACTACCGCTTTTTTATTTGAGTTGGAAAAAGAAGAGAAAATGTTGTTCATAAAGAGAAGGAATATCAGTATTTCGATGTGATGCTCATCATCAAAGTTCCTCTGATATTACATATTATTAGTTTGAAAAGTAATAGTAATTAATACATAATTGGTTAGTAATAAATATCATATATTTGTAATTAAATCTCAGCAAGCGATGTTTTATAGTTTTATCAATAGTAATCAGTAAATCACCACTTTAATTAAAAAATACAAATCGTTTTTTCAATGGGTGGATCTTAGTATTTACCTGACGATAAAATTTATTGGATTCTTTAATTTATTTAATATCGTTTGGATTTAGGTATATTTGTATTTCGCTGTAAAATATTGCTGGTGGAATAAATAAATAAATAATCTTGTTACTTCAACCTCAAAAAAATAATTTACTATTGCATTATTTCAGTTTTAAACAATATTTGTTATAATTTTGCCAGACTTGAAAGAAACATAGGAAATAAAACGTATCGATGGGACTGTTATCATCAAAACAATGCTCTGATATGATAACATAACCTACAACCGCCGAACCGCCAACAGCTCCACTGCTTCAAGAGGAGTCAGATACGAGCAGCTTAGATATGACGTCATACCTAAACTGCCGAGCAGCGCCAGCGAAATAGGTTCCTTTCTATTCCACTAAAGCAGTGGTCAACCGCGAGCAGTCGCGGTCGTGGACCGCGCCAGCGAAATAGTACCTTTAAATGGTGGTCCAGTTGAAACCTCCCTTGTTATCTAATCTTATATCACATAACCTCCCTTCTTATCTCTTCTAACCTAAGTTATTCCATTGTTTATTTTTTGGTTCTCCTGTAAGCTGTAAATTAGTGTTATTTTCGTAAAATTATGGATGTTACATTGTTCGAATTGCCGTCTTCAGAAGAAGAGGCTATCAAATATTTTCAAGACGCTGGGATAATTGCAAAGGTGAAATAATGCGATGATGGTCATGAAATGAAGTTGGATGGGAAGATGAAATTGAGATGCTTTCGTACTTGTAACAAAAACGTTTCTATAAGGAAAGGAACGTGGTTAGATTACATATGTTTATAGATTATATATGTATAATGATTTGGTCTATTTAATATATATGTTGTAAAATAAAAGTATTTTTTTTATTATTGCATTTGTTTTTGTTTACAATTTCAATAATATGAAAATAATACAATAAATATGAATACGAAGATATTATCAGTGTTAAGGTTATAAACATTGGTAGATAGCAGTCAGACCCGACTGGCTATTAAAGAATTAACTAAGATTCCATTGCAGGTATATGAGATCAAGATTGTGCTTTTTAAGTAATAAAAAGTTTCCTATATAGCTGAAAACTTGAAATAACAGAGTCCCGGAGAGTGTAGTAAGGACTGTGTAGGGCGTATGGTCCACTGTAGTATGGCGCATAAGGCTACTAAACACTATAATGTTGAAATGTCTTTCAGTTCTAATTTATTAGCATCCATTTCTAAAAGCTAATGTATTACATTTCAACCTTAATATTTTAATTCACAGACGATAAGGTGAGAGAAAAACGGAAATGTATTCCTTAGGTGGAAGTTTTGAAGCTGGACCTCCCACCTAACAACGGGTCGTGAACTTGTAACTGCATTATCATATTAACTTCAGTTAATAAGGTTGCCGAGCAAAGCCCACTTGACCCCTCACTCGTTCCCAATTACTCTTCTCCAGAAAAATTTTAGTACATTTTCTTGATTTATTTCTTTTTCGTATTTTGAACGGTTCCCTATACATTTCCCTTTCAATAATAAAATAAAACACTTATCTATGTTACAAATTAAGTAAGTAAGGTAAACTCTTGCAATCTATACTCGTTTTACAGATTTTATTTTATGCAAAATATATTTGTGTATTAATCTACACAATATAAATGCAGACCATAAGCAGTGCAAGGATTTAGAAAATTCTCACACAATTTCTGTTTCTTGAAAAATTCCCGTATGTTGGACAACCTGTTCTTTAATACAGATATGCATCAGGTAAATTTGGAACTTTTCGGTTTTTTTATTGTCGATAAAGAATAAATAGTAAAATTGATGCTAGTACTCAGTTTTTGTTTCTAACAAAGCAACAACTTGGATTTAGTTGAGAATCCATTAAATAAATTTTAGAAGTGAATGAACATCATGAATAAACAAAATTATTGCAATTGTGGCGTTTATAAAGAACACAAATTTTTTTTTTATAAATTATAATAGGGCAATTAATAGTTCTAAGGATTTATCAATGTTTTTTAACTTTCACACATAAGTTAAGTTCCTTTTATCGGATACACAAAATTTTTCTTACTTCCGTATTTGTATAATATGTGGCCCAAGCAGCTCTCAGTGATTGCTGACCTCCCAAGTCCCACATAATAAAGTGAATATTTTTCCACACAACTTCTTCAACATTGGAGCCAATTGTAGGAGAGGTGGTAACCACCTCATTCATCAGGAACTGATAGAGTATTGTAGTCTTACCAGCATTGTCAAGGCCTACTATCACGATTTTATGCTCTGAAATGGAAATTAATATCATTAAATTAACTTTTAATACAAAATAAATATTTACACTATTTGATAGAAACATCATATATTTACTTAATTAATTTTAACACATATGGTCGTTCAGTACAGGATATATAAAATATAAATCATTATAAATTCATCAAGACAGAAATTAATTAATTTAAATCTAACAAATGATACCTAATATGTGAACAAAATTTAAAACAATATCGCAATTTTTTTTTTTTTTTGGAAAACATATTATTCAAAGATAATATTCAAGGGAGTCCATTCCAATGACGCATACGCCTCTTCCCCTCCCAATAAATTTTATTATTCTCTTCTTAAAAACTAAGCAAGAGAAAGTAGAATTGGAAGAATTATAGATCATATACAATTACACTTCCTGTATCTTTTCCTTGTTCCCTGCTTTAAAGTTCCTTTAAATTGAAACCCACAAAAATATGGGTTCTCTAAAAATTCATAAGCCCATTAAAAGTGGTCCAAAAAAATAAATAAAAATGTGCCCTCCTCAAAAGTTTTGATGGTGCACCCTAGTGTCGTACAACCCTCTTCTTAGCACATCTGGTAGTATATAGAATACCAACAAGTAAGAATAAATAAACTTTTGCCAGATTTAAAAAGATCTGCTGATCAACTTTAAAAGATGTGTTATTTTCAATAGAATGACTAGCATGTATCCAAAAATATACTGGACAATGCAGAAAATGGTGGTAAGCTGTTCTGAATTTAAAATCCAAATGTGGGACCATGAAAAAATACTTTATTTCACTTTAATAATACAAAATATTTTATTCACTACTCAGAATAATTAAATCATCTTTTCACACTTAAATATAATATAATTCAAAGAACCTTAAAGGGGACTATGAAACTAATAAAAAAAAAAAAAGTTGAGAGAGGATGACCTAACCAACAAACCTGAAAAGACTTATCTTGTTTTTATAAGTTGTACACAATTGACATAACATGGATGATATTTCTATGAAATATAGATACAAGGGAAAATAATTGAGTGCTTGAGGAAAAAAAAATTAGTGTGACTAAATTTGATGCATAAGTTGAATTGGTCTTAATCTTGACTGGATAATCTAAATTTAAATCCTATCAATTTTTATAAAAAACATTATCTACTATAACAAAAAACATCTAAATCTATTGCTTAAATACTTAACTACAACAGTGAAAGAGCATGAATGTTAAAAGACAGAAAGATAAACAATTAATATCACCAGCCTTGTATTCAAAATTTGTAATTAACTATTCATTTGGGCCTGGGTTTCTTTAATTTACTTCCTTGAGTAACGTATAAGCAAATGGTTTGAATTTGAACAAATACTTGATAAAAACACTACAACCAGGATTTTTTTTTGTTTGACAAAATAAATAACCATTTGGGCCTGGGTTTCTTTAATTTACTTCCTTGAGTTACTTATAAGCAAATGGTTTGAATTTGAACAAATACTTAATAAAAACACTACAACTATACAAACAGGAATTCTTTTTGTTTGATAAAAAATATTTTAAGAAAAGCAACATCAACCAATGAGACACTCAAGAATAACATTGACTTGATTATGTTTATAACCTGACAGTACCATTAAACATCAAATTAATGTAATAGTAATAAACTCCAAAATTCAATTAAATTGATTACACAACAATTTTGTTCTCACTAACTTAATTACTTCAACTTAGTGATTTAAGAAAGTTAAAGTGCAATGATGTAACAACAGTAATTAAATTAAGATAATTCTTGATGCTATAAGAAGTCATACTTGTACAACTATATAAAAAACAAATTATGGAGAAAAAAAATTAGAGAATAACACATACCTTCATTCCCAAATAGACTCCATAACTTCGATAACAGGAGACCCATGGCTGTAATAATTTGTACTGCTTATGTATCATTGGCCTGTAAAATGTGAGAACATAAATAGTAAAGCACTAAAAACATCATCATACATTGAATTTTACATTAGCTGTTATCAATTGATTAGTAAGTTTAAATTATACCAGTTGAAAATAGGTAACATATTTTGACATAAGGAGACCTTTCTAAAATTTAACCTTTGAATTACCTTCACAGATAATAAAACTAATACTTTCAAAGTCCTTGGAATTTGAGCAGGCAGCAATGATTTTATATATCAATGGGATAAATAAAAACCAACTATTATAATATTATCACCAACAGAAGTTAATCTCTGTATTTTTAAAATTAAAATAACAGAAGATAAAAATAAATAGCCAGCATGATAAGTGAGCAGGTTACCTCAAGGTGTTATTTTGAACAAGATTGACAGAAGTAATAAAATTCAGGGAAAGTTGTCTAGTTTCCCACAGTAAGTGCTCTATATAGCAAGTGGGTTAAATGACTGCAACTTGTTCAGGCATGACGAAAGCTTACCTTATAAGATTGTGGCTGATGTCACATAAGTAGAAAGACAGGCATTTTGGTTGATAGAAAACCACCTATGACATCCCTTTTAATCACACAGATTGAGATTAATTAAAATATAGAGTCTCAGTGACGTCAGAAACAGGTGCAAAGAATTGAGACTTATATCCAGGCTTCAGATATCATCACTGGAAAACACGTACGACACTTGTTGAGCAGAAAGACGTGCTGTAGCTAGTCAGTAATACTAAAATCGTTGCCTTAAGCATCAACATCTACAAGCTAAATATAAACGTCCACAACAGTGGAAAATCAGACGTGCCTTAAGCTGAAACTAAAACGCGAAACGAAGTAGAAACCTTTCCTTTTGTAAAAGTGGATCAACAGCACCGCACTCTACTTCTACTTTCAGGCACTATCCTTCACAACTGTTCCAATATTTGAAGTAAACAACTGAACTGAAGGATTTTGATACGTTATCTCATTTGGTAATCCTTTCTCCCATCTTCATACTCCTATTGGATATTTAATTTGGAAATTAAATATGTATTGTTTTGCATAAATTATTGCTTATTATCTAAACTAGTATTAATGACCTTTACCATTACTATGAAATTATCAAAGCTTATACTTCTTTTTTTAAGTAAAATTAAATTAATTATTTCAAAAGACAGAAATCAAGCGGGCATGTTAAATATATTCTTCTTATTTTACACAATGTCCATGTTTATTACAATAATCAATCAACCACTACGATATTGAATAAAAATGCCTTATCTGATATGTTCATGAAAACCTAATTAAACTGTGACCCCCTTTTTTATTGTAAAAATACAATAAACAGTTGTTATTCTAAACCAATCGTCTAAAAGAAAATAGCGATATTAAACAATGAATTACTAGGAATAATTATTAAAATAACAAAATAAATAGAAATCTATTGGCTTTGATATTATATTGGTTCGGAATAAAAATTTCAATAGCTGCTAATTTTGAATTTATTCCAAATTATTACATTAAATCCGATCCTCTGAATATATTTGAACTAAAAATGCAGAAAAATTGTTACGAGGCATAAAAATTATCTATTATCTATTATCTTCAATCTGGAACATCTTTTATGCCCCAATATTTAGTGTTTGCTACTTCCGTTTTATTACAAAAAAAAAATTCTAAATTCGATAAAACATTCAAATCGCAGCATATAAACCAGTCTTTACATTTTCCCTACTGTTGGTAGCAGGAAATTTTCAGGTAGTAGTAAATTTTCAAAACGTCTTTTGTCAAAGGTTCTATTAGACCCCATTACCACAATTTTAACTAATATTTTTTAATTTAGACTAGTTTGTGTTTATTTTTACTAATTTACGAAGATAATATAAATATGATAAGATTACAACAAAAAAATAACATAATTATTACAATAATTATAACATATTGCAAAAGTAATATTATTAAGTCCAAGAAACCTAAAAGTGAGTCCCCAAAAAGATTTGTAAACCGATAATGTCTCTGCCTCTAAATGAATTAAAATAACAGTGATTATTTTCTACTTTTTAAAAATATATATTGGCAAGGATTCTGTAAAGTGGCTTTGAGATTCAAAGAAATGTTTTCATTTACAGGAGTGGTTCATTCACGCCAATTAGTCAAGAGAATGAGACATTTCATTATGAAAAAACCCAAATATGATCTTCACATTAGAACAGGTTGAGTGTCTCATAAGAGGAGTGTGTTGTGTTGTGTGTCGATAAGAGGAGTTTGAATTCAGCAGGTGGGTTAAAATCGGTCGCGAACACGGGCGGATCTACGGGAGGGGGCTTTCGTGCTGAAGCCCCCTCCCCAAAATGGTAAAGTATAACCATGTTTTATCGAAAAAAATATTTAAAAAGTATCTCCTAAAGTATTATTGTTCGTGTAATTACATTTAAAAGGGCTTTAGAAATCACTTAAACACCATTTCATACAGGTAGTTAGTTTCTTTATTTTTTTTCCAAAGTAATTTTCGTTATTTTTTATGAAAAAAAAACTTTCGGGCTGAAGCCACCCCAAAAATAAATCCTGGATTCGCTAGTGGTCGTGAACGAGGTTAAGGGGTACATTATAAATATCGTGGCTCTGGAAGAGGTTCGCTGGCCACGGGGAGAGCTCGATAACAGAAGGAAAATACACTATTTGGTAAGAAGGAAGCAGAAATCATTGTTATGTACTGGGTTTCTAATTAGGAACAGATTGATATCCGCTTTGAGGGACGTACAGACAGTGATGATGAAGTTAAATGCGAATTTTATGATAAACTCGAATGGGCATATGATAAACTACCGTGAAACTCCATGGGAATAGTTGTAGGTGACGCGAACACAAAGGAGGGAAGGGAAGAAGTTTATTTTCCGACGATTAGTAAAGAACGTCTGCACTGATATAGCAATGATAATGGGATTCGTCTGATAAACTTTGGAATCTCGAAAAATTCGATAGTTAAAAGTATTACGTTTAAACCTAAGGATATTCATAAATATATGTGGACATAACCGAATTCGCAAACACGAAATCAAATCGATCATTTTTTGATACAGCATAGCTAGCAGTATAATTAATGTACGGTTTTTTCGCGGAACAGAATGTGGGTCGGATCATGAATTAGTAATCCCTAAACTTCGACAAAAACTTAATATAAAAAAGAGAAAAGAAAAACATTTCATTATCGAGAATTTTAATTCGGAAAAATTAAAAAATCTATCAATTAGAACTCAATTCGAGCTGGATCTTGAGAATACTCCCAAGCGTAAAAGAATTGAATGACCTAATTCCTTATAAATATAAAAAAAGAGAGTATCTTAAAAATAAAACAATTGAAATAGAAACTAATAAAGTTGAAAATAAAGTAAGGCACAACAGATGAACAAAGGCATAAACAGATCACGTAAATTAGAGCCAGTCACATCTGGAATTAGGGATGAAAATAACAATATTCTGACTGATCCCGGAGACATATCAAATAAGTTTAAGAACCACTTTAACGATATTTTAAATACGGGAAGTAATGATCTGTGTCCTCCTTCTAAGTACCAGAGTGCTGAACCTTAATAGAGGAACGGAGTAAAGAGGAAGTTGAAGTAGCTATCGGAAAACTTAAATCTTATAAAGCAGCGGGAACCGATAATATCCCAAGTGAACTAATAAAGGCATTAATAAAAAAACAGAATCAATAAATTTTTACTTGATGTAAAACACCAAACATCATTAAACATCAAATATGATTCCAGAATCAGTGCCGGGACTAGATCGCAAAAGGAGCAAGGTGGGTAAATAAAACATTGTACTAAAGTAAAAGCAAAATCCTAAATTTAGCGCTGAACTCATTGGTGGCATCGATTATGCTTTCACTTGATATTTTTTTAAGAAGAGGAGAGCAATAAAATTTTATTAGAGGGGGGTGGAGTTCATGGGCCATCGATCTCGGGGAGATGGATACCTCTTTAGAACTTTTACAGACTATAGAACAAACAAATACATAAATGGTTATTTCACTATACTAGTATTTTTGTTTCTCAATTGCTGTCGGTATCAAGAGAAATAAAATAAATAGTTTGGTTTAGAAATAATGTCACTGTTAGTTAAGCTAGACAATTGTGTTTCCTATGGTATGTAAAATGTCTAAACTGACCTTCAAATTCAGGAAATGTCAATTTTCTGTTTGAAAATCTTATGCTATGATAGCAAACCCCCAAGAGCATTAAAAATGTATTAAAAACATATTATTTAATTATATTACAGCAGTCTGCCTGGGACTAAAATGAGCGGGAAAAATACTGGATTCTAGAAGTTGTTCACAAATTGTTTGTTTTTTTCTCCTCTAGTTTGATTGATTGAAGTTGATTGCATAAAAATACCCATTTCACGTATTTATGTAAAATAACTTTGTTCTTAACATATTTCCTAATTGTGAATAGACATAACAATTGGAATTATTCAATTCAGACTACATTCATAGAAAAATTCAGAATATTAAAACTAGAACAGAATTAAAAATTGAAAGGTAATTTTTCAATATTCAAAACCCAAAGTTAGTTTTGACTTTATTTTATTTTCGGATATTTATTAAAGGGAGATATTTGGTCCATTAGTTGTTTGTTTTCTTAGAAACTAAATTAATATTCATCAATGTTTTGAGTCTTTAGAGAGTTTGAAATACTTTTTTCACTAGTACTGGAGATGAAACAATGTCATTTCTTTAAACTATATTGTAAAATATTTCCTTCATCATATACTTTCTGACTGTAGAGACAGGTTTTTTCTTAGGACTCTTTTAATTTTCTATTAATTTCTTCAATTTGCTGGCTCCTATAAACTGTTCAGATCTATCATGAGAGCTATATTACATATGCCCAGTTCTTACTTACCGAAAATATACAAGTTATTTCAGAACTAGTTCATTTTCATTATAGTAACTGTGAGAGGAGAAATCATTTTTATTACGGTATTTTCTGCCAACTAAGATTTCATGGTATATTTTTCTAGGGCTTAAAACCAATTTTTTTTTTACTCAATTCTTTGGTATCATTAAAAATACTATTTTTTTTTTTCGGTTGGCACTGCAGACCTTGTAGATTCCTGATTTAAAAACTTGGGGGGGGGTAGAGTCATCAGTCCTACGCCCTGTCGGTGTGAGTTGCCTCCAGTAGGCTGACGGGCCTCACAATCCGGGGATGTCTCAGGCAGCGTGGCATTCCCTGGTGGACGGTCATCCAAATCGGGCGGTCACCCATCCAAGTGCTAACCACGCTCGGTGTTGCTTAAATTGATTACCTATTACAAGTGCCTTAGCCCACATGGCTACCCCAGACCATTATAATACTATTTATACCTTATTAATTTTGAATTTCATTTTTCTTTATTTATCATAAGTTTGAAAGGATACTGACACAACTAAAAAATTCCAACTTTTACATGATTATTATCATATTGTATGTTATGATTATTCAAATTAGTTGTACTGGCTCTCTTCTAAATTAGCGGTATATACATATATTTAAAAACACATATGTAATGTATTACATACATTATTATACATACATATGTAATGTATTGGTATACTACTAACATACCAATCTAGTAAAAGTTATTTATAAGTTCTGCTGGTCTTCTTCCGAGTTACTGAAATGTATTATTTTACTTTACAAACTTGTCTCATTTTTTTAAGGTTATCAATTGAAACAAACTTTGCAAATTTTTCAGTAAACAAATTCATATTATCTTTATCTTTAAAATGATCTGATTCATCCCTATATTATTAATTTGTATGTTGTTAATTGCATGTTATTAATCTAAAAAGAATGATTACATAGAAAAAGATCTATGACACAAAAAACTTCCTTACAAAAATCCATGAAACTGTTTCAACCCAAATTGTAGATCACAATCAAGTTGTTTAATTTTATTATTATTTTCCATGTCCA